CTCAGGTTAGTCTCGGGGTAGTCGGGTTAGACTCGGGAGACAGGTAGATGTCGGGGTTAACTCTCGAGGGTGCACAGGTGAAGTTTTAGACTTCGTCGGAGAGAGTTATGTAGACGGTCTAGAGAGTCATAACTAGTCGAGGTCTTAGCTAGTCTTCGGAAAACGGAAGGTGTCGGGGACACTCGTTTTGGGTAGACTAGGTTTGCGTGTTTATTTGTTTATCACGCTGAGACGTACTTATGGTACGCTCGGTAAGAACTCTATTAGAACGACATGTTTGATACGCCTAGGATGTGTCGGGAGGTAGAGTTAACTAATGGAAGTAGACGGGAAGCGACAGCGTGCTAGGGTTGTTGGCGTGGTTTCTTCGGTGTTTTCCGGTTGCAGGTTTTGCAGGGATTTGCAGAAGAAGGTGGAGATTTGTGGAGTTTTCAGCAAATCCGCTATTGGAAGCGGAGGCTCTCGAAACCTCCCGACGAATCAGAGGGTCTCAATTAGACGGAGGGGCATTTCTGTCTTTTCGGGGTTTGTTTAATGTAACCCTAGGTTTCGTTTCGTCTCTCTCTCATTCGAACGCTTCTTCGTGTTTTACGGCCGAGAGTCTGTCTCTCGTTCCGGCGAGCTCCGCTCGGTTCTCCGGCGCCGTTCTACGGTGTCCGGCGGTTCTGGTCTGTTGTAACCCTAGCTACTAAACGCGGCTTCCTCTTCCCGAGACGTAGGCCCGAGCTTTATGCTCGGTGCTGAACTCGTAACTTCTCTGTGTCGTCTTCTTCTTTCGATCTTGCACACGAGCGTGAGTCGGAGAGAATCGGTGAGGATCTAGTCGATAATCCACTACAGTTTTTATTCGATTATTTTATATTTTAAATATTAAGTAGGTATGTATATTTTACGAATCGGCTTTTATTTTATTTTGACCGAATCCACGATTTTTGGTCCATGCATGCATGCACTTTTTTTTTTTTGAGAATAAGGTCCAAGTGTTATTACAGAAAGAGAGCACATACACATACACACACACGCATATATATATCATTATCTTTTTTTCACACATATATATATAACCACATTTATGGAATTTGAAAAAGATGCTTATGAATCTTCATATCAGCATACATTATTTATTGTAGCTGATATTATCACAAAATGTCATAGTTCTTGAAAAAACCCTTAGGAATTTAATTTCACATGGACATGGAATATCTTCCTTTTATTTTAATTTATCCAGTTAAATTAGTGAAATGCCCAAATGTTTATTTGTTTATAATAACGGTAAGATCAAATAAACCATAAAAATACTAGGTATTTGAATTTATGTTTTTTTCTATCAGTTTTGGCATAACGATGAATTTTAATCCACAAAATGTGTGAATCAGAACACCTCACAAATTTTAAAGATTAAATTATTAATTCACAATATATTTTAATGTGATTATATGAATTATATTCAATGTGATATTTTAAGTAAAATATCGCATAAGACAACACTATATTATTTACGCATATTAGCTCTATAACCAAATTCACATTACAATAAGTCGTATGAATCGAATCACTGAAAATGAATTACTCTCTGAATTGGATTTTAACTAAGTTTAGAATCAGAATAGTTGTGGGAAATGAAAATCTCGAGAATTTGTCTGTTTGATCAAAGGGATAAGACTGCTATTTGTGGGACCGACAGTTACCGACGATGTCCGAATACGACGTAGGCAGTAAAATCGGATCTCGAGCTGGACTTGGCGACATTCATCCTCTTTAAGTCATTGTCTCTCACTTGGGAAAAATAGCTTAAAACACACGCGCGAGCCACGAGTATGAAAATCTTTATTTAAGGACAATAAAAAAACACAAAAATCATTTACAATCATAATAAAAATATTATATAAAAAAGAATATATGACATTGAAAGGGATAAAAATAACAAAGATGGGATCGCGCTAAACGGGCCAAGTGGGCAATACGACGACTAGATTCAGATAGACTAGAGAAGCCCAAGCCCGCGGTAAAGACCAAGACCATCAAGGCCCAATACAATTTCCCCTGACCCATATATCTTATGCTCAACATTAATTATTGAAAAACATAAATTACAGTGTTGCCATATTAAATTGCCAAATATAGATATCTTATACCAAGACCCCGCCCATGGATCGAATCGAACGGTGGATATGGTCACTGCCCTTATGACAAATTGACTTTCTTGTCTCTTTCACAATATGGCATTGCCAACAATGGACATTTAAAGGCTTCAACTTTGAAACGATGGAGATCATTAATTAAAAAAAAAAACTCTTAGAGAATATTGTGACAAGCATGTGTAATGTTCTTCATTCGTTTTTTTTTTAAAGGTAAAACATCCAGGGATTGCATCAGACTTACCCGGAATCCACAACGTGACAATCTCGGAGGAGGAAGTGTTCTGATCGAAAGTGAAATCCACAACTATTCGAACGAAATGCACTAAACTCGGATACATGCAGATGATACTTGACGATCGGATCAATCCATCCTTCCCTTCAGGATTCTTTCCCCAACTTCAGTCGGCGTTCTTGTGGACAATATCAAAACGGAATGCGTTATGTAAACCCGGATGTCTACTTTGCCAATGCTGACTAGTTTTTGAAGTATAAAAACCCGATTTTTAAAAGCATCTTCTTCCGAGGGAAAAATGTGAAATGATGAAAAACCATGAGAGCAGGAACTTACACAACGTAGACGTGCCCTCCCCAGCCACTCAAACAGTCACGGTCGACCGATGAGAGAAGTGCTTGTGAGATTGTCTCGAACAATTCCTCGGGTTCCTGAACATCCCATTTCAAATTTGTTATGCAACGCAAATAGTTAATAGTCAGATGAAATCTTGATTCATGTGTATCATTGCATGATATATATATATATATATATATGCGTAAAAGATAAACCGGTAGCTATGGGAGAATCCATTCAGTATACACTCAGCACAACAAGTTATAATGACCATTCAGTATAATGTACTCAGCACAATATATTGAAAAGTCATCATTTAGATCACCTGAGTTTCGGGTCATCTCATTCATAGGCCAAAAGGGGTGATCCAAGAGAGAATTATAGAATCAGGTATATATTATAAGCACATGCACAAATACCAAACAGCTCCAGTGCTAAGATGTACACCTTTCAAATGAAAAGATGCTGCTTATTTATATTTTGAACCCTAGCCCTTAAGCTCCAGATACTACCATGGACCAGCAATTATCTATGCACAAGCCTTTGCATTCAAGTGAACCAGCAAGAAAAATAGGAGAATGATAAAGTATTAGAAGGGACAAACCATATCCGGTTTGTACATTGCTTCACAGGCTCCGTAAAGTGATTCAGAAGCAGTTCCAGAAACTACAAAATCTTTAGCCAGCTCCCTACATTCAGACCAAATCAAGTATTAACGATGGGCTGAAACAACATCATGTCCGAAGAATGACTTAGCATTTCACTATTCATGTCAAGTAAATAACAAAAGAAGTATCACAGCGATCTTGCAACTGTTATGTCCAGGAAAACGCCAGCTGTTAGCAGCAACTCATACAATAGACAAACACAGGCTGCAACACAACTATGATTCGACACAGGAGGCACGGGACAGGAAAAAGAAACGAACCCAACCACAGACAATTCTGGCTAAACTAACAAGTGTTGGGATTATACTTACTAACCGAAGTAGATGGCATACATGTGTAAAAGGAGATATAATGTCTCGAATAATATAGGTAATAAGGGATGCAAACGTACTTCGCTCCAATCGAATCCATGGTGCAAATGAAGGGCTTATCATCATCTCCCAATCCAGCAATCACAGGTTGGCATAGGTAAGGACCAAATCTGAAACAAAACAGACAACTAAATCATCCTACTAAAGCATGCTTCAGAACAAGAATTTGCTCTTCCTGTCCCACCCATAATCAAAACCATACTTTGACAAAACCTAAGTTGCAACAACGCAATCCTCATATCATCTTAAAATGATCGATTTACTATATAAACCTATAAAAAAAAACAACTTGATCAGAAAAAAAAACAGCAAAAAATGGGAAACAGAGACAACAAGCACTGACCTTTTCTCGTAAAGAATGGCGGAGACAAGGCTTGCGAAAGTTTCAGGCTTCATGTCTCTTTCCTCCCGAAGCTGGTATAACTTATGACGAAACACGAGTCGCTGGTACCTTCAACCAAAGACACCCAAAAAAAGAAGCCCTAGATTTCGTCAATTCACAAAAGCAAACTAAATATAGAAGAAGAAAAACCTAGAAAAATGGAATTCGCAGAAGATTGCACGACAAAATTTACAGTGTCTGGACATCAGTGGCGAGACCGGAGAGGCCGATGAAGACGCGGTCGTGGATCTTGTAGATTCTCTGGAAATCGGTGGCGATGGTCTGTAGCTGAACACCGAGTCTCCGATCACTGGCGATGGCGAAGCAGTTCTTCCCCACCATAGCCACAAGGGCACTTCCGTTGTACTCGAAGATCTGCATCGCCGTATCATTCAAACCAACATCAAGTCATCGCCGATAACAAAACAGAAGAAGGATTCCCGACAGCTACGAAACCGAGAGATATCACTTACCGACATCGGGAAATTAGGGTTTTTGGGAGAAGAATTTGGAGTTTTTCCCAACGGAGAAGAAATCAGAGCAGAAGAGAGAGACCAACAAAGGAGAAAAAAACAGTGAAGTAAATGTCACCGATGCCCGATGGCTTGGAAGAAAATCCAAGCCAAAGGTGCAATTTTTGGAACTAGTGGGGCTTAAAAGAGAAATGACAATTTATAGCCTCTTTTTCATAAATTCGCATTTTCTCCGTAAACTACTCGAAATTACAGTAAACACCCTGGAATCGAATTGGCTTGTTGCTGCATCGGTCTCACTCTCTTGAAAAATATTATGGTGATGAGAGATTGCGAATTTTCAAGTATTAAAATTTAAAACATCCTCCAGAGATGTCAAAAGAACAGTTTGTGATTTGAAAATGACTTTGTATATATAAAAATTGGATATTTCTTCCTTGTGCTTATACTAACATCATCTTTAGAACAATACATACGAACAAAAACTTTTAATTCTACATTATACGTTTCTGGATTCCTTCATCTTTGGACACCCGAATCTAGTACGGAAAGACAAAACTTGATCATCTTGCTTTCTTTCCAAACATCGAGGAACTGAAACCTTTTTGTTGTCGGACGGCTACGAAGCCAAATCACGAACCGATCACGAAGATTGGTGCTTGTCAAAAGAGCCCAATCCCGACCCATTCCGCTTCGCCGGGGAATCGGGGCGAGAACCTGTTCGACGAGAACGACGATTTCGGCGAATCCCACATCGGGGATATCGATCTCCGGCTCGACATCGACCACGGCGACGCCGTCTCCATGTCGGACCCATACTCAGGCTCCATCCTCGGCACTGTCTTTTTCCGGCCACTGATCCGACTCTTCTTTAACCGGAAAAGAGGCGTCGGGAAACACCCGGGTCCTGCAACGACATAGTCGGATCCGGGTACGGGTCCGGATCGGATCACCCTCGGGCGTTGGAGCAGCCAACGCTCGGACAAGGCACGCGGCGAGGATCGGAACGACATAGCCCGAGGACCCGGGGAGTAGAACACGGAAGCCGGTGGCGGTTTGAGCCGCGACGATGGCGACGGAGACGGGGTGGAGAACGACGGCGGAGCGAGCGGCGAGAGAGGCCGGCGATTGGCGATGAAGGAAGAAGACGGCGGCTGAATTTGCGGCGGCGGAGGATGGAGAGGCTGAGATAAGGGCTTGAGGCGGAGAGGGGAGAGTTTCTTGGGAGGATTAAGGTTGTCGGGTTGGGAAGTTTGGGTCTTGGGGACACCTGGTCGGATTTCCCAGCTGAAGGGAACGGCTCCTGGTCTCTTGAATGAATCATCTGCAATCGCCATCGTCAGAGCTCTCTGCAACTAAAAAACTGTCTGAAGAAGGAGGAGGAGGAGGACACTCCGGATTTCTTGAGATTAACGAGTTAATGTTTTTATATGCAGACAATATATATATATATATATATATATATGTGTGTGTGTGTGTGTGTGTGTGTGTATAGGTGAGTGGGGGAGAGAGAGAGAGAGAGAGAGAGAGAGAGAGATGGAGGCGAGATTGGAGGCATGAAGATGGGAGTTGGTGGCGGGAGAGATTAGGGAGGTTTATCTGCGTGTTTGACCAAGCAAATTTTGGCCCACACATTCGTCTCCCTCTCAATCATGAAATGGTCACTACAAATTTCAAAAAGAAAATATTATAATTATAGAAATTAACTCAAAACAAACAGAAATTCAAACTTAACAAATTTGCCATCCCAAAAAAAGGAAAACAAAACCTCTGATAATATTCATTTATCATCGCCGCCCGCCGTACCATATGGTAGAAAAAACAAATAACGTCGACTTATACAGATACATATATAAAATTGAAATCTCTCTCCTTTTTTTAAAGAGTATTATAATAGAGGAAAAGTCTTCATAAGGCATTGGTTCTTGCAAGAATCAGCAGACAGCAGTTAGTTAACAGATTATCTGTTCTTGTAATTAAGTTGTAACTAAGTAATTGACTTAAGTTGCCATTAACGAAGATACGTGGAAACTGTTTCAACAATAAAACCATATGGTACCATTAATATAATTTTAACATTTTATAAATTCAGCATATTCGATGAGCACCGAGTCTTCAAGGGTCCAAAGAGAGACAAAGAGTGATTTCGAAAGATCAAGTGCTGTACGAAGACCTTTTGCAGCACGCTGACGTGAAATGGGGGAAAATAAAGGAACCATTTTGAGATTGAAATTTCAAAATTTGCAATCATGGTGGACTTTTCCCCACATGAAATGCAAAAGGGTAACATCAAAATGTCATATCGGTTCGGAAAGTTTCCAACTTTCTCGACCAAATAAGTCCGAAACTGTGCCAATACATGATGGCAAAGAAAAATCAAAGTATGTATTGTATACATTTTACTTGTATACTCTTCTCTCTCTCATGGGGCTCGTCGAGGAGACGGGTACATAATAGATGATAGTCCAAGGAATCAAATGAAATACACTTTTTTTTATCATATACTCATTTCGATAAAAATTGCGGATAGGAAATGATCTGTTATTATTAGATAGAGATTAATACGTATGTGTCAATCTTATCTTATCTATGATCCCACCATGCTAAAATTGTTATCATCAAATTTTGTGGGCCGTAAGAGGCTTTTTCAGCCACTGACAATCTTGGAATGTGCAACTAGGCCTAGTTCTCTTGGGCCATGCCACGTCAGCAGGCTGGATGAACTTGGGAGCCCATATTGGAGTCCCATCCATGTAGGAATTGTGCGTCACTCTACTCAGATCTGAGCCGTCCAATTTAACGGTGAAGATCTCGCCAGCTGAAATCGCGATATCCGGGTTTGAGATTGGCTCCGCCGAGATCGCGGCGTAATTCGACGTGAACGCTACGGTTTTCCCGTCGGGGCTGAAAACCGGGTGATTCGACATCCTGCCTAAACCGGTTTCGGTTAACTTCCTCAAACCGGTACCGTTCGGGTGGATCAAGAACAGCCCGAACGATTCCGTACCCGGGTTCTCTCGATTCGACGCAAACGCGATCCAGTCTCCGTCCGGTGACCAACTACACATCGTGTCATTCCACGCGCCATCGGTTAACCGGAATAAACCACCGGTTTCGCCTTTCTCGGCGTCCATTATGTAGAGGTTCTTGTTGCCGGACATACTAGAGCGGAAAACTATCCGTTTTCCGTCGGGCGATGGCCATGGAAATGCGTTGTTTTGACCGTTCGTGGTCAGATTTCTCACCGCCTTTGATTGGTCGACGGCATCAACGTCAATGGCGATGATATCGACCTGGGTTTTCACTGATGCTAAGATCGGACCTGAACTCGTGTACACTGTTCCGGGTCGAATCGGGTCCCAAGCCGTCGAAAATGTCATTTTTCCAAAGATTTGGCGTGGATTTGTAGCGTCAGAGTTCACGACGAAGACACCAGTGTATGTGACGAATGCGATACGGTCACCGGCCGACGAAAACGACGGGAACCCACCTTCGATTCTGAAGAGAGAAAGGTCGGGCGATGATGATTTGATGTTCTCGAGGAGAAACGAAGGCCTTGTCTGTCCGTTGGCCTCCCCTCTGCAACTGTGGTATCCGACCCGTGTCGAATCAGGGGAGAGGAACGGGTTGAAATGGTGACTCTTTGGCGACACCAGACGAGTCAACTCGATGAAATCGTTCCTTTTCAGGTCGAACAGTTCCACGTGGCGGATATCCGAGCCGGGTCTCCGAGTGGCAACCGCGATGAAGTCGTGGTTGTTGGGCGACGTAGCGGGTGTGAAAGCGTGGATACCCGGTGGTGTGACTCTCTGAATCGTTACTGACTCGGTGGAGATCGATCCATTCTTCGGTAGAATCGCCCGGTACACGCTCATCCATCCGTCTTCCTCGCTTCTTCTGTGGAAATACAGAGTTGACTCGTCGACCCAACACGGCCATCCTCCGTGTTCCACCACCTTGACTCGCTGAGTCCCGTCCCGAGTCAGGAAAACGTAGATATCGGTACTGAGTTCCTCCAATTCACCGTTCCAACCCCTCTCTCCGTACGAAGCCACGGCGGTCCAGTTCCCGGAGGGAGAAACCGCGGGGCTAAAATCAGCGATTCCCGGCGGTGTCAGTCTCCGAGTTGACCCGGTCCGTAACTCGGTGGAGTAGACAGCGGCCCAGCTCGTCATCGGCTTACTCTGGACCTCGTGAGTCGACACGTAGACCAGGTAGTCCCCAGCCAAACTGGGCTTATCTTTCATCGAATTTACGGCCATACCACTCAGACGGTTGGCGCCGGATATCACCGGCACCTGGAGCCGGCTCGTCACTTGATGATCCCCCGAAACAGCGTCGTAGTATACGCTCGACGTGCCGTTTCTCTCGGTGATGTATATGAGATGCATATAAGATTGGTCATGTGGTTGGATCCCACTGTTGTTGGGTAGAAGAGAGATAAGCGCCGCAGACGGATAAGCGAAATGGCCGTTGAAATTAACGGGTACTCCATCGGTGATCCTGAGCTCGCCGGAATCCGATGGCGGACTGCGGTGGCGCGTGGGGAGCGTGAAGATATCGAACTCGTAGGACGGCCTCCCAAGCGTCGTGAACACGATGCTCTGGCCGCCACTCGAAGCCTGAGTCTCCGCCATTGCCGGTGCCCCGTGGTGGAGCAAATCGAGGAGGAGGAAGAAGAAGATAACGAGAGCGGTTTTCATGCTTTGTATTTCGTGACTGGTACATCTACGTGCATGCATGCACGTTCCTTATATATACACATTCATTTGTTTGAGAGGTGGGAGTGATGATATGTACACGTGGCATTGGTTAACATGGTATGTCGAATGATATTTGCCCTGATTTTTTAACAAAAAAAAAATATATTTGTCCTGATTGATGACAAGCATATATATTATTATATCAACCATAACGTTATCATAATCAATGGTACCACAATTACGATTCATAATTTTGTTTTATTGCCGAATATAATCCAGATTGCGATCAAGATTATTAGGATGATTTGTTTTGTTACCAATTATAATATCGACTGCGATAAAGAATATTAAGTTTTGAGATTCTTTTTTGGATTTTCATAGTTGGTACGAGATGATAAATAAAGGTAACATATTACAGTATATGGAAGCTACAGAATATATATTAATCTCATAATATATGGCATTGTTTTTTTTTTTTTGTTAACGAATATATGGCATTGTTCAAAACAGGCATCACATTAAGATAATCTGATTTCCATATATGATGATTTTGCAATTAAATAAAACAGTCAATTTCATATTTAGTCAATCTGCACCCTCTTCGTTGTCGGGGTCATGCCCTCCCCCGCGCCTTCGCATTCACACCCTATATTTAGTATATCTCTCAAATATTCAAATTTTAATATATATATATATATATACATATATCAATGATATTGTTTTTTTTAATAATATTCCCTCACATTGGATATTATTCTTGATACGTCACGATTTTCAATACGATCAATTTTGGTTTCTTTGCTATTTTTCTTTTCACCTATTTATTTGCTAATTAACGTCTTCTTTTGGGTTCTCTTGCGGCCTAAAGTATAACAATTAAATAAAGGGACAATGTAGAAAAAAAACATAGAATTTTGACAAATAAATACACAAACTTTTATTTTAATAATAAAATACACCAATTTTTATATGCGCAAACCTCCACGAAGAATAACGACGTCAAAAAAATAACGAAACTATTAATACGTTATGTACAATTATATATAAATATTATATTATTTGTTTAATAAACCCATTATGTTTAGTGAATTTATTATTAATCTTGTTTAGTGATTTTTTTTTTTAAGTTCAAAACATAATATATATGATTAGTGAATTTATTATAAAACTTGTTTAGTGATTTTGTTTTTTGATATTCAAAACATAATATATTTGCATTTTAAGGATTTCACTTTTCATATATATATTATGTTTTGAACATAAAAAAACAAAATCACTAAACAAGGTTAATAATAAATTTATTAAATATAATTAATGACATGGTTTTATTAAACAAATGATATGATATTTATATATAACTAACTGTACATGATGTGTTGATAGTTTCGTTATTTTTTTTATGTTGTTACTGTTTGTTTGTGGAGATTTAGGCTAACAATATAAAATTTGGTATATTTTATTACCAAAATGAAAGTTTGTGTATTTATTTATCAAATACACAAAGTTCAGAATTTTTTTTACCATTGGCCCTTAAATAAAATATAGATAAATCTGAAAATAATATATAAATTAATAAGATTTGGCAATATTCCATGGGTTTTCGGAACCAAATATATATTTATAAGATATTAAGATTTTAATATATTTTTACTTACAAATGGTTAAGCTCGGTTGAATTGCACTTGGGCCTATTGAGTCGTATATACAATCAGCCCAATCTGCTCTTCTTTCGTAAAGTCGGCCCAATGTGTCATAACTAATTAATTTCGCTTCAATTAGGGTTTGCTGTCAAACCGCCGGAGAAACTCTGCCGGACAAAATATGTGCCTCCGGCGAAGCTATGTTGGTGCGATCTCCGCCGAAATCTCGTGCGCAGTCCAGTCTCTGTCGGTCTACGTTGATTCTCCTCCTGTCTCCATAAGCTTCATTCGCATCTTTCTTCTCTGCATCTCAAAAAAGCTATATGTCTCCGTGGCATTGCATAAGATTTCGACGAGGGTTTGATTCTATGTCTAAGCCCCTAACCCTAATTCATCAGGGGAAACGTAGAAGTAGATGGATTTGAGCCTGGGTTTGAAGCCGACGAAGCTAACCTGAACCAGTTAACTTACGATGTCTCGAAACTGGGTTTGAACTTTGAAGCTGACAAATTCGTCATCAGGGTTATGTTCTGATGTCTAGTAGTGGAACTGTTTTCCGTGTTTTTGTTCCTTAGATTCTGCATTCCTCGTCTGTTTCAGACAGGCTGCAGAGTGTTACACACGTAATAAGGAGCGAACGCTGATTACGCCGCATGCACTTACAGTAGAATGAGAAACCAAGGCTACTGTTTGTCTAAGCTAAAGAATGGCTTGAAAAATCTTCGGAAGAGTGAAGAGGCGGTGTATTTGTACAATTCATCCTCCTTAGCTTCACCTCTCTTGAAATCTCTAGACTCAGTCTTTTCTTCTCCAGAAACTCGGGCAAGAAGGCGTGAATTTGCCCAATTCTTGCAGCTATCTGTGACAGATGATCCATTGTCGTATTACAAGAAGGTTCATGGTCAGATTTTAGCTTTGGGTTTTGAATCGGATACGTATCTGGGTAATATTTTAATGAATGTGTACTCCAAAGCTGATGACATCGGTTCTGTGCGTAAGCTGTTCGGCCGAATGCCTGATAGAAACTTGGTTACTTGGTCTACCATGATTTCTGCGTGTACCCAGCATGAATTTTATGAGGAGGCTTTGGTAGCGTTCTCGGCATTTTCGAGAATGCGGAAGTACAATCCAAACGAATACATTTTGTCGAGTGTTATTCGTGCTTGCTCGCGGTTGGATGGCAGTGAACGTTCACTTGGGTTTCAAATGCATGGTTTTGTTGTTAAGCGTGGTTTTGACCGAGATCTTTATGTTGGTACCTCATTGATTGATTTTTATCTGATGGAAGATGATATTGATTCGGCAATGCTTGTTTTTGATGCTTTACCGGAGAAATCGACTGTGACTTGGACAACACTGATCAGCGGGTGTGCTAAAAGGGGAAGAAGCGAGGTTTCTTTGCAGTTGTTCTATCAGGTAAGGGAAAGTAACATCGTTCCCGATGGATTTATCCTTTCAACCGGTTTGAGTGCATGCTCAATGCTCAAGTTTGTGGAAGGCGGGAAGCAGATCCATGCATATGTCATAAGACACAGACACGAGATGGATGTCTCTCTGATGAATGTGATTATAGATTTATATGTGAAGTGCGCCAAAGTCACAGCTGCTCGAAAGCTTTTCGATGGAATGGTGACTAAAAATATCATTTCTTGGACCACAATGCTGTCTGGTTACATGCAGAACTCACTTCATGAGAAAGCTAAAGAATTGTTTTCTCAGATGTCATTGTTTGGTCTAAAGCCTGATATGTTTGCTTGCTCTAGCATACTCACATCTTGTGCCTCAATTCGGGATCTACAATATGGTAGAAAAGTGCATGTTTACACTATCAAATCCAATCTTGAAACAGATAGCTATGTGAGAAACAGCTTGATAGACATGTATGCAAAATGTGATTCTTTGATTGATGCCAGAAAAGTTTTCAATCTTGCAACTGACCGTCACGTGGTTTTCTTTAATGCGATGATTGAAGGTTACTCAAGGCATGGGGAGCTATCTGAGGTGTTGAATATTTTTCGCGATATGAGGTTCAGATCTGTTCAGCCTATGCCATTGACCTTTGTCAGTCTTCTGGGTGCTTCGGCTTCTTTGTCAAACCTAGAGCTAAACGAGCAACTCCATGGGCTGATGTTCAAGTATGGGGTATGCTTTGATATCTTTGTCGGGAGTGCCTTAATTGATGCTTACTCAAAGTGCTCTTGCATCAAGGATTCCAGGCTTGTGTTTGAGGAGATGAAAGAGAAAGACATAGTTGTCTGGAACGCAATGTTTACAGGTTATTTCCAGCAATCAGAGAACGAGGAAGCATTCAAACTGTATGCTGAGTTGCAGTTATCAGGTGAAAAACCCGATGAATTTACTTTTGCTGCTCTGTTTACAGCAGCCAGCAACTTGGCAAGCCTCCGATTGGGTCAAGAGTTACATTGCCAACTCATTAAGACAGGCCTAGAATCTAACCTTACAAATGCCGTGGTTGATATGTATTCCAAATGTGGAAGTCCTGAAGAGGCTTACAAGGCGTTTACTTCAGCAGCATCTAGAGATGCTGTTTGTTGGAATTCTGTCATATCATCATATGCGAACCACGGAGAAGGCCGAAAAGCTCTCCAGGTGCTGGAAAGAATGATGAATGAGGGAATAGAACCCAATTACATCACATTTGTGGAAATTCTTTCGGCGTGTAGCCATGCTGGGCTCGTCGAAGACGGGCTCAAGCACTTTGAGTCGATGCTCCGACTTGGCATTGACCCGGGAACTGAGCACTATGCTTGTATAGTATCTCTTCTAGGCCGTGCTGGTAGGTTAAACGAGGCAAAGGAGTTTATCGAGGCAATGCCCACGAGACCAGCTGCAACGATATGGAGGAGCTTGCTGAGTGTATGCGTGACTGTGGGAAACATCGAACTGGCGGAACATGCGGCAGAAATGGCGATTTCGTCTGACCCAACAGACAGCGGATCGTTTATTCAACTTTCCAACATGTATGCATCCAAAGGCAAGTGGGCTGATGTGAAAAAGATAAGAGAGAGAATGAAGTCTGAGGGCGTGGTGAAAGAACCTGGAAGAAGTTGGATTGAGATAAATAATGAGACGCATGCCTTTTTGTCAAGAGACAAATCTCACAGCAAGGCGGACCAGATTTACAGAGTGCTAGACGATTTGTTCGTGCAAATTAAAGGTGCTAGTTATCTGCTGGAAGCTGCTTTGATTCCATTGGATGGTTGAGTGAGTTCTGTCTGAAAGGGGCTAATGCGAAGGAGGTTGTCTTCAGCTCTTGATCCGTAATTACACACAAATCCTGTGTTAATCAGTGTTTTTTTTTTTGTGTTCATTGCACTAAGAGTGAATGCAATACAAGGTGCTGAGACAAACCCTCCTGCTTCAATCCTTCTGTTCATAACTTTGAGGCAAGTTCCAGATTTTGAGGAACGATATGCTTTTTCTTCTTCTGGATAATCTATAATCTTGTTTTTTTTTTATAATTGCAGATGGCAAGGATTAAGGAGAACAAATTTACGGTGCATCATCTGGGTTTTGTCAAGGTAAAATCCATGTGTCAAATGTTTTTTTTTTCTTCCAGTTTCATGAACTCGAGTTATTTAGTCGTTGAAATCCTTTTTTGTAGCTCTGAGAAGGGAGGCTCAATGGTTGAACTGAAGATGAGTTTTATTTTATTCTTGTAAAATAAAAATATAAATATATTTGAATATTGGCTAGATATGCTTTTTTTTTTGTCACAATAAAAGAAACAAGAGTTGAGGTCCTTAGAGAATCGGTTCGCTGGCCTCCGGCTCAGGAGCAGTCAAGAGGATGGTGCTGAGGGGGTTGCCCCTCGGGGATGGTGCCGATGGAGGCTTCGTTGCATCAGCGACCGGAATTTCCCCGGAGAGCCGCCCTGGCTGCCACGTGTCCTCTGCTGAGACCGGTAGAAGAACACATGCGCTTAGGACCAAAACCACCGTTGCGATCAGCAAGGCCTTCCTCATTGTCTGTTTTCTTCTTGTGTTGTTTTACTAACAAAATATTTAGGAAGAGCAAAAAGATGATATATGCGATGCAAGTGAATGTATGTATGTCTGTGTGTATATATAGATATATTGTGGTGGAACAAAATCTTTGTAAGATTATTTGAATCAAATCTTACAAAATCTTCATTTGGATTCCTAGATGGTACAAAATCTTATCTGATGATACAAGCAATTTTATTTGAATCAAATCTGATTTAAAATTGATTGAATACAATTTTTTATAAGATTAAATTAATTGAATATTAATTTAATTGGAGCAAAATGAAGATAGTAAAAAATAAAATAAATATTTGTATCTTTTAAGAAGGATTGAATTAAAATTGAATATATCTATATTTTTAACAAAATTAAAAACATAATAAAAAAAGAATCAAAATAAGGATTATATTTTTAAAGAACGATTTTTTTTTTGGTATAGCAAAAAGGAAAGTGGTATTGTTTATAGATATTTGTTCACATGCTCCAATCCAATCAGAATGTCCATCAATTGTAATGATAATATATACATTGTACGCAGTAATCTGAATAAAACATGATTCGAGTAGACCCAGACCGGGCATGGGGTCGGATAGGACTGGACACGGGTCGGGTATCCGCTATTTTAGAGATACCCATCTTCGTCTTCGACTTTACGGATTTCATGAAAATAATGTCTCATTCTCTATCTCATTAACATCGGGTACCCGTCGACCGGATATCCGTGATTAAGAGACGGATACTCACGGATACCTGTACCTGTAAAAAATATATTTTTTAAATAAATATAAATCAAATATTTAGTAAAATTATATTATTTAATTCAAAAATATATTTAAAATATAAAAAATATATATATCTTTGAATATATGTAGATTTTTAAAAGTTTTTTAAATATATATGTTAATTTTTAAAAGTTAAAACCTAATATTTAAATAAATAATTAAAAAAATATAGAAATATCTGATATTTTTATATATTTACGGGTATCTGTGGATACCCATCTTCGTAAAAATGAAACTTGTATCCGTCTTTATGTCATTTTTATGTACTCGTCTTCGTCTTCATTCGACCAGAGGCGAGTACCCGTTTTTCGAATATCCACGAGATCGGGTATCCGCAAACCCGCGGGTAACGGGTATAAATGTCCAGCCCTAAGACCCAGCACAGAACCGAACAAAGAAATCACCAAAAAATCATGACAATCTCTACACCATCCTCAAGTTCTTCATTATCCGGAAATGGACAAATGTTGCAATGAAATCAAAAGGGCACAAACGCATCTGATGAGACATCTGTAAACATATAGATTTTTAAAAGTTTTAAAAATATATATGTTAATTTTTAAAAATTAAAACCTAATATTTACATAAATAAATAAAAAATATAAAAATATTTGATATTTTTATATATTTACAGATACATGTGGATACCCATCTTTGTAAAAGTGTAAAAATAAAACTCGTACCCATCTTCATTGTCATTTTTATGTACCCGTTTTCGTCTTCATTCAGAAACGAATATCCCTTTTTTGGGTATCCACGAGATCGGATACTCGTAAATCCGCGGGTAACGAATACAAATGCCCAGCCCTAGGGTCGGACGCTCATCTGTCCGGTTCATGTATCAGAAGAATACTCGAAATTTCGGATTCCCATGGCCAACACATTGACGTCGAATAACATCAATAAATAAAAGGGAAAGTGAAACAAAGAGAACATGATTTGTGTTGGAAAGAACGGTTATTACAACATTCCCCATATCTGTGGAGGGGATATGAAAGAATCGAGACAATGGAACTGGAGGAGGGCATACATATGCGCTTGCAGAGAAAGCATTTGTACAATCCCGTAACAAACAAGAACACAGTACAAACCTCTTCAATGGTCTCTAATCATCAGGTGGGCAAAAAGCCATTGGATTAAAGCCCTGGATTCAAGAATGCAGAGAAGAAAGAAGCATATCTTACCAAGGGTTTGCCATATATATATATATATATAGATTCCATTCTCTGCCCCTTTAGTATTATGTGTGGATGCAATTTCCTCTACCACGAAAATGAAAGATTTCAGAGCGAGCTTGTGTGATTGTTCAGGCAAATACATAGATCAAAGGTGATGATGCTCTTAAGAGAGCTCCTCTTTGTTGAACTTGTTCCAAGCTTCCTGCTCAATGCAATTATTATTATTAAATTCAGTGCTGCGGTTCACTGCAAAGGCATGTATGCGGGATAAACGCAGTAATCAAACCACTCGAAGAACAAAAGCACAAACTGGTCAATGGCAGCTGCTGAAAACTGTTCATAACATCTATTCCTGTGTCGGGTAGTCTGAAACCTCGGTGCTGGTGAATTGTATGATAACTAAACCCATATGCCATGTCCCAAATACGTCTACCGGCTTAGAAAACTGTGCATGGACATCAGGCACCGAGAATATACCTTAAGAATGTCGAAGACCTTTTCGGCAATATACTTTTGTTCAAGGGTAGCTCCTTTCTGTTGAACTTTATCAGGGTGAACATACAGTGTCGCTTTTCTATATACTTTCTTGACTGCTGTGGAAGTGATCAAATCCGTCAGAGAAACTGGCTGCCAACCACATTCTGGCCAGAGTACCTGCATCATGGATCCAGAATGGGAACTGCAGGTGATATATATATATGTGTGTGTGTGTGTATGATGAGATTTTCTTTTAAAGAAAAGAGAACGTACAATCTGCAATGAAGATAACAATGCACGCATGTTGCCTTCTTTCCCAGCAGCCCAGCGCTTTATCTCAGCATTGATTGTCTCAGCAATCCTCTGGAAAGCAAATTTATGCATTAGAGCATTCTCATTGTAACCTTAATTATGTGGACAGATGAAAGGGAACAAAAGCGGGCATTTGAGCACATGAACAGAGGCACTGGAGTCTGGAAACAAGCCGAAAACCCAAAATTCCCCCATTTGAGAAAGGAGATATAAACATATGAAAATCAAACAAATCATTTGCCACACGCTACTTACACTCCTTTCTTCTTGTTCAAGCTGAGTTTGACGATCTCGGTGATTCATATCAGCCACAGCCTGTGCCTATACATAAAAACATACTGAATAGTGTAAAATCATCTGGTGCTAAAATTTACACATAGTAAAAACTAAAATTTCATGAGCAACAGCAACATATATCAACTAAAAGTTGGTTAAATATGCAGATTTGTTGAGAGATACAGTTAAATAATGACGCACAAAACCACTGGGACAAACTGTAGCTGAAAGAAAAAAACTAGAAAATCACAGAAAGAAGAGAAAGTGGTTTGGGTATATTCCAGTGATTCAACTCATTTTCCAGGGAACTTAGGTAAAATTCGGAACATAGAGGTGTTGAGGTTCAAGAAAAAGCCAAATTCATAGATGGGTTTACCCTAGAAAATTCTAGTCTGAATTTAATTCACAGATGTTAGATCTCAGAAGGGATATCATAAATATGTTGCTGAATAAGGTTGTTCCAGGAGAATTCAAAGAAAACTAAAACCACCATGAAGCTTACAACACGGTTCTTCGTTCTACGTTCACGATCCCATCTAGCATTTCGTCTTTCTTCACTTTCCCCCGGAATGTCCTCGAATTCTCCAAATAAAGGGTCAGCTGTAGGGAGGAAGCATGTCTTCGAAAAGTCAGCAGTGAGCAAACGATTACCATTAATGATAGGCTGTCATTGATAGCATGCTATTTACCTCCAAAAACTGAAGAAAAATCATCCACCAAATTAGCTGGAGGAACAGGCTTCTTCGCACTAGATTGAACCCCATTAGATGTCTTCTTTGCGTTAAATACTGGCTTGCTAAAAATCTGTATAAACAAGGGAGAACAAGGAATACAGAATCATAAAAATATTTAACATAAAAGTGTGGAAATTTAGTTTATTTTGAAAGTAGTTCTTACATCAGTAGTAGCCCGAGATTTTGGTGCACTGCTAGAGCGGGACACAGAGCTGGAAAAGAAGTCGAGGTCATCTACACTAGTTTGTTGTTTCTTTGTTCTAACATCTTCAGCTTCGTTATATTTATTAGGTCGCTCCCTACCCATTGCAAACTCTTCAAGTGCATCTATCGAAGACATTCCTGAGCTCTTAACTGTGCCAAAAAGTATTTTTTAATTCAGCATCCAACAAGAAAGTAAAGTCCTACTCCAGAATGATCTCACAATCACATTAACAGAAAGAGAACAACCTTCATTTACTTTTTGTGCTGGTTTAGGTGGAGGCCGGAGTTTTGTTGAAGTTTGTGAAGAATTTGAAGGCTTTGTCCCATTAGAACTCACTGAAAATGCAAAGTCTTCCAGTGGATCCACAAATACACCCGAAGAAGAATGCCCCGAAGCTGAAGTTGATTCTAGAACTACAAAAGGGTCGTCGACAGCAGTAGTTGATTTGGCAGTCCTGATGCAAAAGACAGTCGAAATCGCCAAGGGAAATTATCAAAACAGTATTAATTAAGCCTATGCCTTTCGAAAGATTATCTCAGACACCACTAAATATTGCAACACATGACAGACCTCGCAATCTCATATATCATTTCCAAAAATGTAATAGAGAATCTAATCAAAATCAATAAAGATTTGCGCCAATCATCAACTCTCAAGAAAAAAGTATCGGATCACACAATGTATCGTAAAACCATAGCGTACCCGCTACTTGGTGGAGCACTTTCACCAAACCCGGGAATCAATTCATCAAAATCAGCTGCATCCTTCGCCAAGTTACCCGAACTGTTCTGGTTCCAGCTCTTCGATTTAGTACCAAATTGGCTAAAATCACCCAATAGATCATCTACAGAACCATTTTGCTTCGCCGGCGAAGAGAATGATCCAAATATATCATCTTTATCAACGCTAGGAGAGATCTTCGACTTCATCGTACCATCAAATATATCATCACCATAACCATTAATCGAAGTGGCGTTTTTCGCTCCCGAATTCCCCACATTTGGGAACATCAAGTCATCACCAAACGAGGGTTTACTATTACCAGACGTATTGGAAGACTTGTTTAAACCACCGAAAGCACCGAAATCGTCAAACCCACCAGAATTCATGTCTACCCTATGTACGGGTTTCGATTTAGAGAAGATGTCGTCGCCGTCAAACAACGACGCATTACCAGAATCCGCGTTCTTAGATCTATCCGAAGAATACGAGGTAGGTTTTGTGTTTATGTTCGAACCAAAATGCCAGCTCTGTCCATTGTTAGGGTTCGCCGATCGCTTCGCCGCCGCCATCGGAGCGGATTTCCCTTGAGGCTTTAGCCCATAACGCTCCGTAAGAACACCGAATTCGTCCATCACAGCTGTTGATCGATCAAAACAAACAAACCAATTCCTAACGAATAAACCTATGGAAAAAGCCCTGTCAGATCGATCCGGGGAAAATCCAAGATCATACGCGTAATACCACGATAAAGGGGAGATCTGGAGGTCCTTCTCCTGGTATTATCGATAATTACGAGAGAAGGAGAAGAGAGGGAAGGGACAATGGAGAAGAAGGGAGAAACAAAGACCGCAGGAGCGAGAAGTTTCCCGGGAATTCAGAGCCGGGAAACCGAGAATTTTCCGGCTCCGTTTTCTTTTCTGAATTATTCGCAAGGCTGCGACGGTGAGTGGACACGACGACTTAAAAGCGGCATGGTAATGGTGGTAGGGCCCACGACAGATGGCTTTGCTTTAAAATTTCCACTTTTTTTTGTTTTTTTTATTTATCTTCGTATTGTTGTCAATAATTTCATCTTCTGCTAATCATTAAAATTAATTATTTTCCCCATATTAAGAAAATTACGATCATCAATCGTATTATTATTTGTAGCTTGATTTTCAAATCTCTCAACTCGGAAATTATTTCCATTATTAATGATTATTAGTTAGTAACAAATAAATAATGGTAAGTGAAATATAATTATATGAATTTGTATAGTTAAAAAAAAAGTTTGTCGGTGCATCGGTTGGGTTGGTGCATGGTGGACTATCAAATATATCGTGGGCTTTGTAAATTGCCATTGGGCCCATTTATCAACACTTTTGAACAAAACGCTGCGTTTCGTCGTCCTGTCTCTCGCCTCGCCATCATCGTTTCTGGAAAACGGGAACATGAAAATCCAAAGCATTGCTCCTTTATATTGCAATGCTCCCTCCCTGTGGCGTGTATATATAAACGTATGTGTATGCATATATTTGCTGTTGATACGTTTGAATGCCAATGAGATATACATATACCAGTGTGTAAGAAAACATAGAGAAACTTTCTCTAAGAACATGACTGCAGATTAAGCTGAAAAGGAAACTGGTCTTATAATTTGGAGAGGTTCAGCTCGTCTTTCTTCACTTTCCCCCGGAATGTCCTCGAATTCTCCAAATAAAGGGTCAGCTGTAGGGAGGAAGCATGTCTTCGAAAAGTCAGCAGTGAGCAAACGATTACCATTAATGATAGGCTGTCATTGATAGCATGCTATTTACCTCCAAAAACTGAAGAAAAATCATCCACCAAATTAGCTGGAGGAACAGGCTTCTTCGCACTAGATTGAACCCCATTAGATGTCTTCTTTGCGTTAAATACTGGCTTGCTAAAAATCTGTATAAACAAGGGAGAACAAGGAATACAGAATCATAAAAATATTTAACATAAAAGTGTGGAAATTTAGTTTATATTGAAATCTCCGGTTCAGTGCCTTTTAGATTTTGATTCGGTTTTGGAAAGCATGTATCCTGAAATCTTGCTCATCTCGTACAACAGTCCGGCCGAGAACAAGAAACTGCAGCCAAAATCGATGAGCCGCAAAGCAATCGCGGGCTTTTAGCCGAAGTTATGAAGAGATGAAGACGGACGGATACCGAGCAGAGAATTAGGGTTTTACCAGGTCGTGATACAAACTCGATGCACAGTGCCAGCAGCAACAAGAGCAATGGCTTCTGCCAGTATGACTGCCAACGAAAAACAAGAGAAAGACCTTCAGTAGATTGCAAAAACTTTCTTTATGTACCCTCTTGCCCTCAGTAGCTAGCTAAAAGGGGAATCAATGAATTTAAAGAGTTTGTCTCGCGTGATGGAGTAAGATATCAGATGAAAAATTCCAGGTTCCAAGAACTAATCAGCAGGAAAGGATTGATATATTAGCATGTCAAAGAAACGAATTTATCAAAAAATTGTAAATCCCAGATGCAAAAGATTGAGACTTTATCTGCATTTCTCCGATCTAGAATCCTCAAAATTCAGAACTAATGATTGAGAGGAGATAAACAAATACAGCAAGGCCATAAGCAAACTGCATTAGCAAATCACTCTGAGACAGAGAAAAAACCCAAGCGACCATTCGAAGGAATCATAAACAGGAAAGTCTTAGATGATTTTGCAAGTGCAAACGCCATACAGGATGTCATAGTGAGAAACTTACCCGCGCCCCAACCAGTTCTCATGCCAGATGATTCCTGGAAATTACCAATGAACTGCAAGCAAAAGAAATTACAGCAGTACAAAACATCAGCAACCGATACTTTTGAGTGATCAGAACCTAATTTCAGAGTCAGAGCCATAGAATCAAGGATCTCAAATCTCAAATTTCAGCAAAGATTTGTGCTTGCACACACCTAAGGTTTGCACAAAATGGAGACTTTTCAAGAATATGAGAAGAATCTAAAAGCAGACAAGAAAAACTTACGGTCAGAGACACCAGAAAGAGGAGGGAGCTGGTGAACCCTCCAAGGATGGTGAACAACTCTGAAGAAGCTAACTTAGCCCGGTACATTTCTTGAAGCGAGAGGATCACAGTGAACAGAAGAAGAGAACAGAGCATGGAAGTTCCAGCTCCCGCCATTGATTTCACTTTCTTCCCAACCAAACACGAAAAAGGAAAGAAAAAACATCGCTTCAGGCATCGATTAAACGGGACAACACACAGAATTTGATTCCGAAAACAAAAACAGCTCGCACTGATCTACTGTTCGAAAAGCTAGAAACCGCAAAGGGGGATTAGCGGATAAAGATCGTCAACTGAAATTCAAACGGGAAAAAATCGATAACTGAACGCGTTACCTTAGAAACCCTAACAGATCCGATCCCTCTTTCTCCTCACTTCTTCACTTCGAAGACCGGTGAATCCCGACGACGGACATCGACGAAAAGAAAATAGAACTAGGAATCCTAAGTCAAATGACGATTAAACCCATCATTCATCGCTGATATTACAGAACTACCCTCCCATCGAAAACGACATCGTTTCACCGCGTTACAACTTACAAGGACGCGGGCTCTTGCCTTAAGCGGGGAGAAAGCGAGGCGGTCGTTGGAATCGCTGCTGATGGAGCCGCCGGAGTGTCCGGTGTGTCTTCAGTCCTACGACGGCGCGTGCACTGTACCGCGCGTGCTAGCCTGTGGCCATACGGCGTGCGAGGATTGCCTCACGAACCTCCCGAAGAAGTTTCCCCACACGATTAGCTGTCCGGCATGCACTGTCCTCGTGAAGTTCCCATCTCAGGGCCCATCAGCTCTCCCCAAGAACATCGATTTACTCAGATTGTTTCCTTCGAGTCGTCAGAATTATCTGAAACCTAGCCGGAATTGTGAAAATTTTGTTGACTTTGTCCCTCGATCCTGGTCCGACGACTTCTATACCATTTGGAAGGATCGGGTTCTTCCGTATGACGCCATTTCCGTGGAAGACGGCCAGAATGATGATGGAGATTCTGCTTCTTCGTCGCTGTTATTTGGGTGTTTGAGGGATGAGCAAAGGTTGAGTCTTTTACGGGTTGCTTCTTTCCAACATGAGGAGACTGGTTCTGTTTTCAAGTACAGTTATGTCAGAAAGATGATGGAATGTTTGTTTGGAATGAGAGAGGAGGCAAGATATGAGCTTGACGTGATTTTGTCAGCGAAACAGAGGGGGGTATGTAGAGTTTTTGGCTTGTGGGGTAATTTGGAAGATGGGTTGTTGTATTTAGTAGGTGAGAAGTTATCTGGATTTTGTTTGGATGAATTTGATAATCTGCTTGAAGATAACATTCCGTGCTTTGCCGTGATTGGTATGCAAATATGCGAAACAATTTTCAGTTTGCAAAAGGAAGGGGTAATCACAGGCTGTTTGAGCTTTTCATGTGTGAAGTTTGATGGTTTTGGGAATGCGTATGTTGACTTGATCGAGTTATTGGAAGCTGGAAGAAACGTGAATAGACTTGTTCTCGAAGAAGCTAGTCAGTGCAGTAAACCGATCGGTCTCATAGAAATGGGGGCGATAATCCGTGGTTTACTAAAGAAGGGAACTTTTTTGAGCCCCGAGGTGTTGTTTGAATTGTTGAAAAAACAAAAAATCGTAATAGCAAGTGCCAGCTCAAAGTATTTGGTTTCTTATAGCTCTGATGTCTGGCCATTGTGTTTTGTTCTACTCAATTTTCTCTTTGGGAAACACTTTACTGATGAGCTGTTTGAAAGTGTAGATTGTGTGGATACAAAAGGAAATGGAGAGGAACTTGAGGATTTTTTGGCACTACACACAGGTTTGACAGAGAAAATACGTTTCCTGCTGGAATCGAAACTTGAAGGGAAGTTTGAATCACTGTGTAAAACTCTTTGCCGATGTTGCAGTCTTGATCTTCATGCTCGACCAGTTGTGTCAGATCTATGGAGATGCATCAGGGAACTGATTATAAATTCACGGTTTATTTCTATGATTGGATTCGATAGTACAACTTCTGATAAAGTAAAAGACAGTTGTTTGGTTATTGGTGAATTGAGCCAGATGATAAAAAAAAGATCCAGCGAACTGGAACGAGATGACTTGACTGGAGCAGAAAATGGCAGAGGGGCAAACGAGAGTGAAGCTGATACTGATTTTGTTGGAAGACTCTCAGAGGGAAACATAAAATCTAAAGACATGCATGGACACCTGGACTGTGTCACGGGTTTAGCTATCGGAGGTACACATCCTTCTTATTGCTTTCTTCTTTACAAATTAGACATATTTTTGTGAGCAAATGATCAAACTGTCCATGATTTTCTGTGTAAGAATATGATTTAGAAATCACGCACATGTATTTCTCTCTTATATGCTCAAATTGTATCTGGTTCCTCTTTTTTTTTTCTCTGTGCAGGTGGCTTTCTCTTTAGCTCCTCCTTTGATAGAAACATCCATGTATGGTCTCTGCAGGTACAATTGTCATCAGGTTTCCATGGATTTATGCTCTTGTTCTTCTAACCATGGGGACAACTTTCTGATAGATGAAACATGAAAGCTCCATACTCTTTGCACAGCTTATGTGCCATAGTTTTCTCCTTATCACTAGTGTTCCTTGACCCTAATTTCACCTATATGGTTGTACAATACCGTTTACAGGACTATTCTCTTGTGCATACATTTAAAGGCCATGAGGATAAAGTCATGGCTTTGGTGTATATTAATGGAGAGGAACCACTTTGTGTCAGCGGTGATAGCGGAGGAGGGATATTTGTGTGGAGCATTAGTCTTCCTCTCAGGCAAGAACCATTAAGAAAATGGTGCGAGCCAAAAGATTGGCGTTATAGTGGCATTCATGCCTTGACATTTGCTGAAGATGGATATCTCTATTCTGGAAGCGGGGATAAGACTATCAAAGCGTGGTCATTGCAGGTAACTTTACAGTTCTTTGTATTGTACCCTATGAAACTTTCCCTGATGGCCGTTCATCTTTTTGTTAATGGCAAAGATTTCTTCCCCAGGATGGTAAACTGGTTTGCACTATGAGCAGCCATAAATCCGTAGTTTCAGCACTGGTTGTAAAGAACAGTGTACTATACAGTGGAAGCTGGGATGGAACCGTTCAATTGTGGAGCCTAAGTGACCACAGTCTTTTGGCAGTGTTGGGGGAAGAGACACCCGGCACTATAAGATCAATATTGTCTTTAGCTGCCGATAAGCAAATCTTCGTGGCAGCTCATGAAAGTGGGACCGTAAAGGTTTAAAATCACCCTCCCGGCATTTTGTTTGGCTTTCTCGTTTTCATGTTCTTGTGCTTAGCCGATGATGAATCATGGTTTTTTTTTTCTGGCTCCTTCTTAGGTATGGAAAGATGATTCCTTTGTGAAGTCCATCCAGATTCAAAGTGGTGCAATTCTCAGCATTGCCTTGGACGGTAAATGGCTATTCACTGGAGGTTGGGACAAAACTATCACTGTTCATGTAATCCTCTATTCTCAAGAGCTGTGATATCACTGCTAAAGATGAATCATACATACATCTATCGGGCAAAAAAAATCAAAACTTTAGCTGTTATCTTTCGTGGGTTTGGTGCTTTGAGCTTCTGTTTCTAACGGCTCCTCTTCCCAAACTCTCGTTTCGTAGGAATTGACGGGAGATGAGATAGCACTAGACTGTAAGCACGTTGGGTCCATCTCGGGTTCTTCAGTAGTCACGTCTTTGTTATACTGGGAAGGCAAGCTCTTTGTGGGGTTTGCAGATAAGAACATCAAAGTAAGTGACATGTCCATCTTCTGTTTCTGCCATTGTAACTTAATAGCAAAAAAAAAAAAACCACACATTCTGTTTCTGTTTTTTTGTGTTTTCGGGTACCCTTTGATGAAGTGTTCCATGACACGACCAGGTTTACTATTACGGAAGCTGAAGGAACTTGAGTTTCTCAGATTGTCCTGCCAGACCATTTGTCTACAAGTTTGGGTTTCTAATTATTGGTGCCATATCAGAAGATCTCAACACGTGTATATATATATATATGGAGTGAGTTTGTGTATCTATACATATATTATATATATATATATATATGAATCTTCTTCGTGTACGTATAGATATAAATCCATATCAGTGTCTTGTGCATTTCAAAAACCAGAAAAAAAAAAGAGTCAAGAGTTCATGGCTAAGGAGCCAAGATTCCAAGCCCTCATGTCTCAGTAATCAATTTATAAATTATGATTAATAGTCTCATGATTTATACATCGGATTTTCAAAGATTCTGATAATAATGATAATTATAACAGTATTCGCTGCTTAGTGTTTTTTTCCTGACAAAGAGAAATGGAAAGAAGAAAGTGAACGATTACAAGGAGGCAACACTCTGAACTCAAAACACTCGAAAATACGAAACAATATAATTATATACTAACAAATAAAAAAATAAAAAAAGAAGGAAGAAGCCTTAAAACATGGAAGTTAGCAAACAGCAAAATACTTAAAAACCGTATAAAACTGTGATTGGGATTTGAGAACGTGTAATGTGTGACCTTTCCCCCCTAGACGGCATTCCAATGATCAGAACTCCTAGGCGTCTCCCCAGTCGCTGTGGCTGTCGATTTGAACGGTCCGCTCGACCCGAACAGGTCGGTGTCATCGAACCCGAACCCGTGTCTGAAATCCGAGTCTGTCGTGCTTTGGATAGAGTCGAATCTCACCAACTTAGCTTGCGGGGACCGAGAGAATCCGCCGCTCTCGTGGGCATTGCTCGATGACTCGAAGCTCTGCGAGTTGAAGGAATCGTATCTTTGATAGTTGAAGGAATCGAACCTGGAGACCGCGAAAGGGTCAGGCTCGCTCGTGCTGCGCATTGAGTCCGTGCGGGATAATGAGGTGGCATCGTTGAAAGAGTCGAAGCGAGAGAAACTGTCGAACGAGTAATCGGCTGAGGAGTTGTGGGCGGGTGTGCTCGGGACAGAGTCGAACATGAAGGGACTTCTTCCTGGGAAAAGGTTGTCTGAACGAGGAGTCTCCGAAGCGAATAGCTTCCCACCGAAATCCGACATGCTATAGGCTGGGGTGCTGGGAACAGACTCATCAAAGAATGAGGACTTCTTCTCGGGAAAGACATTGCCTGCATAGGAGGCAGGAGTGCTCGGAACAGAGTCATCAAAGAACGATTTCTTGCCCATGAACGAGGTAGAAGCATTAGCAGGCGTGCTCGGAATGGAATCAGCAAATACAGAAGGTTTTCCAGCAAAAGTGTGGCCGGAATCTGCAGGGGTGCTTGGGACAGAATCAGCAAATACAGATATTTTTCCGGGGAACAAGTTACCAGAGTTGACGGAACCTGTTTTTATCGGCTTTATGCTGAAATCATCGAATCCAAAACCAAAACCGATATCCTTTTCCTGCATAAAAAAGAAAAAGTTCAAACAAAACGAAACCTTTATGGTTATTCATGTTTCATCGATAAGCATATAGTAGTGAACGAAATAAATATCATCCAAAGCAGCAAAATTCCGAACCTACGAGATAATGAATTACCTTTCCATTGTTGATTTTGAAGCTTGAAACTGAATCTGCATCATAGTAACCTTCAATGGCTTTACCAGTAGAAGAAGCAGGAGAATCACGATCATCATGATCACTGGAAAAGTCAAATAAAAACGTAAATACAACGGAACAAATCATCACAGAAGAACTTTCCAGCCACCTTTCAGCAGATTTTCACACCGAAATGAGTGACATCCACTGCCTAAGAAAATGTTAACCAGAACAAAGTCGGGTCAAAGATAGAGAACGGACCGACCTCTTTGTGTATTTTGAGTGAGGTGAACTATCATCAGCTTTGATACCCTTTGTAATAGCAGATTCGTTGTGGAATCCGTTTTTGTCTCGGTCGCCGCTTTCGGGTGTCTTAGCATCCGACAGCTCGGTCGACGATTCCTTTTCAGCAGCATCTTTCAGAATCTTCTCAGCTTTAGAGTCATCATCATTTGATGGTGATGCATCTGAACCTTCCTTTGGTGACACAGTCGTTTCTTTTTTATGGATTGGAGTTTTTTCCTTTGGTGGGGCTACGACATTTTGGACATCAAGAGTGAGCTCCTTGACAACGGCATACCCTTCAAGCCACAAAAAAAATTAGGTTCATAAATTTATTTAGATTTGTGAATATAAGGATTTTTTTTTTGGTGTTTTCCCTATCTAAAATTAAATTTCCAGAAAATGGGCTAGATCCATAGTGTTCTTAGATAACTCTCTGGTAGAGCAATAAAATCTTAGATATAAACAGGCAGTATACCTTCCTCCTCCAGCTTATCCCAATCTTCATCCCAATCAGCAGCATCTTCTTGAATCCCAGGTTGCCAACCTGTAAGAACGATCAAATCACTTCATATAAACAAAAGGAACAAATGCTATGTATATACATGCAAACATCTTAGCCAATCAGCAATAATATACGGTAAACCAAATATATTATATTCCCTGAATAAAAAGCCCCAAGTAAAAGCAGTAGGAGAGGTATATTCATTGTCATACAGCGTCAATGTATAACCCGAGACTTTCATCAGAAATAAAGTAGCAGACAGAGGTTTTCAGTGATTGATAAGTGTCCCACATTGGAAAATGAGAGGGATTTGGGCCAATATATAATTAAGGGTCAAACCTCCACTCTTAAGCTAGCTTTTGTGGTGGAGTTAGGACCTAAACCTTATTAATTGGTATCAGAGCCTAACTCTCTACTTTCCGGTGGGCCTTTGACGGACCGTTCTCCTGCGGACATGCGGTCGACTCGGTGGTTGTGGGACGGTCGGGAGAGGAACGGTCGGGAGAGGAACGATCAGGAGAGGAACGGTCGGCGCGACCGCCCGAGAAGCCGCCAGCGACCAGATTTGCCCCAACACCGTGGACGTCGCTGTCTAAAGGGGGCGGTATTGATAAGTGTCCCACATTGGAAAATGAGAGGGATTTGGGCCAATATATAATTAAGGGTCAAACCTCCACTCTTAAGCTAGCTTTTGTGGTGGAGTTAGGACCTAAACCTTATTATGATTATAATGGATTAGAACAGAAAATTTTCAAACAGTTTCAGCTACAGATCAAGAAAATATAGTGAGAAAGAGGAGAGGAAACTGGAGAGAAACTATACCGAAAGGAAGTTCAACCAGGGAAGTGGGTTTTCCACGCAGTCCATATTGTTTGCAACGTTCATTCAAAGTTTTTACCAGTTCCTCAAGACCTGATTGAATGTGCTCAGTACGCTCCTACAAGAAAACAATAAGCAACCTGCAACTACAAAATCAAATGCAATCAACCTAAATAGTACATATGGCTTACTTTAATAACACCATCTTCAAGTTTGCCTTCCTCGAATTTGACAATTGCATGGTACAGTTCCATTTTTATCTCCTGCGATTATGGGGCACTCATCACTTTTTGGAAGGAGGCATACACTATACAAAATGCAGATAGTTCAAAGTATTAGCCATGTTCCATGAATGGAACTGTTACATTACCTGTACATCACGGAATGTGGCCTCTTCAATAGTTAACTTTGAGCCAACATTGCCAGATTGCTTGTACTTCTCTTCGTATTTCTTTGCTAAAGTTTCAAGCTGGATTACATGGCGATTACTATTAGCTAAACTAAGTGGATCTTGACACCACTACCGAAGAACCTCTGCAGAACAAAAATTGAACAAGTACCTCTCGGTTATCAGCAGACACCCTTTCTGTAATCTCATTGAACCGATTGTCACATCTGCTCTTGTACAAAACCTAACACCCAAGGATCCAGTAGAAAATATTAAAGAAATAAACATACATTTAAGGGGAAAACCTGAAAAGCATCCACATTTCCACTGTAACAGAGACCATTTAATCATTAAAATGAAGAAAGTTGCATAACAATCACATGAATTTGCAATCAGAAGGATTGATAAACTATTTGGAACACAGAATGCGCTGGGGTCCCAGATTACTTTGAATTTTTACTAACATAAACAAGCTTAACTGTTAACAGAAAAAATACTAACATTGTTCACAGCAATTGTTCAAATGTATAAGGCATGGTATATATAATTACCTCCCCACATCACATAGCACAAGTAACAAAAACACGCAACATAGGTGAGGAGCCAGGGCTTTGCTAAAGCTAAGGTTACAACAACCATACAGGCTACAGCTGGGCTTCTGAAACGTTCCTCAGGAACAAAAATTCTCTAACAGTGATTAATACGAAATTGGCAGTACAACTTATATAGAGGTTGATATAAAATCGAAAGTACAACATAAAATATTATATTTATAATGATATCCATAAGAAAAAGCTATGTAAGATCTTGGTAGCCAGGATACATCTTAGAATATCGATAATACGTAAACCTACAAAGTAAATCAAATCAAACATTAATCATCTCAAAGACTTCTTTTAAGAACAGTATAAAAGGGCCAGTTCAATCAGTACGAGAATGTATGATAACCAACCTAAGTTTTACCTCAGGTAAAGGTTTTTAAAGTAGTAACTCCAAACAAAGAACACTGAAAAACTCAAAAAGAAGCAAAAAGCACAAGAGATACTCACAAGTTCCTGCATCTTAGCATGGAAGAACTCAATTTTCTGTTTTGAGTCCGCTAGTTCTTTTTCAAGTTCTTCAACCTGGAAAACAAAATAAAATAATTTTGAAAGGAAGAAAAGGCTTGTCACATAAAAATGGTCTCTAGGTTGAACCAACACAAAACACACAGAAAGGTATGACCAACTATGAACCACAAACACAACAAACTGAACAAAGATCTATCATGCAATAGAGAAGCTACAAACTGGACTAGAATAAAGATGGGCAAAGTAGAGTCTCAGTCTATACTTGGGAACCTTTACATGCCAAGGAAATTAGCTACGAGTTTTTTTTCAATAGAAGTTGAAAATTTTGGAGGCTTTTAAACTCAAGTATGACTCTCTGAATCCATCTTGGTTCCTTATGACATTAGCACATGTAGACACAAGAGAACAGAAACATTCAAAACGATAACAAAAACTCATAGTAACCAAAAAATGCAACACACTAACACATTAAAATCAGAGAAAAGCCGGAGAGTGCCTTTTTCTCAACAGTGGTTGCCTCTTCAAACTTTGAGTTAAGTGAATCCTGCTCCTCTTTGCTAAGCTGATCGACCAGATGTTTTTCCAACACAGGAATTTTACGCTTTGGCTGAGTGGGCTCAGCAGTTCCATCACTTTGAGAACCAAGAGTGGGCCTCGGTGGTTTTCCTTTGGGAACAGGTGGTGGCCTCGCCGTCCCAGGAACTTGTTGCTGTTGGAAACCTACAAAAGTTGCTCAAATGTGAATCTGCCAATACCAGACAACTGAAGCAAGTACAATAGAAAAGGTTGTGTGTAGTGTGGTACCACGAGCAGCTCCCCATGGTGCATTGCCGTGTGAGGCCACAGGTTGACCAGGAGCAGAAAACATACTCTCGCTAGCTATTATAGTACTGGGAAATACAGGCGGAAGGGGGCGACTCTCCCTATAACGCTCCATAAGATAGACCGCAATACAAAACTCCCTCAAGGAGAGCATGCTATCATTATCTTGATCAGACAAATCCCATATCTGCTTCAAGATCTCTGAAACACCAACAACATCAATATGACAAACACATAAAGAGAACTTAATTAATTCTCTCTGAACATTCAACAGTAGTGCCTAAGAAAACTCACTATAATTACCATAGCATAGACCACACATTAACCAGAAACACAATACTTGCACACACCTCAAACGACATAAAGCTGATACAAATTGTCCGAACAAAATTTACAAGTGTCACTCCGTTATTCAAGTTCAGCATGATAACAACGAGCTCAACTTGAACCAAATTTAACTATCAAGATAACGTATAAACCAAAACAAAATAGTTGCAGCCTACCTCGTGGGAGCTTCCAACTTAAGAAAAGATTCCGTGCCTGGTGCCCAGTGATTTTACCATCTCTATCAGTGTCAACTTGCACAAACACCTTCGCATATTTTTGGACATCAGCTGGCATCATCTTAGGCCAAGAGGCGTGGGGCTGAGACAAATGGCTGGGAGCTGAATTTCCAGTTCCAACAGGAGAGCTCAAAGGACCAGAAGCTGCACCAGAGGGAGAAAATTGATGCCCTGGTTTCCCAGTATATTGATGCTGAACACCAACAGCCTGCTGACCCAGTGAACCCTGTGGTTGAACTGAATTTTGTCTAACGACAGGTCGTGCACCACCATGAGAAGCCACAACAGTCCCAGTGGCAACAGATGTGGCCACATTAGACTGCTGATTTGGCTGTGAGGCAGAAACTGAAAATACATCTCCAAATAACGAATCAGATGCAACTGTGTTTCCAGCAAGCTCCTTGGGATCCTTGACTACTGATTGATTGGATGGAGTACCTGAACCATGAGCAACTGGAGGTGCAGATGAACCATGGGAATTGTGCAAGACAACTAATTCCCGGGGTTTGGTTATCCTAGCCCCAGATGTCGTATTTGGTCTTGGTTGAAGGCCAGTTGTTGAATTAGGTGGCGTTAAACCATATGCATTCTGACTCAAAGGGACTTGCAAATTCACTTGCACCGAAGGGTTACCAGTCCTTCCACTCAGCCAATCAGATGGCACAGACTGATTTACAGGACGAGGCACATCAGTCCCTACTGTTGGCACACCTTGGCTTCGAAAGTTTTGCTGTGGCTGGGAAGGTGCAGCATGACTAGTGGTTTGTGGTGGTCCCCCAAACTGCTGGCCTAAGGCTACTTGTTGGTTATTAGTGCTTATATTTCCACCAACTTGTGTCCCTCTCATCCCAGCAGTTGTAGATGGCAGTGATGCAATGCCAGTAGCCTGTGCAACAGGCATACCTGCCCTAGGCTGTGGGGAAGGTGTTGCAGCAAGATTTATTTTGGGAGCAGGAATATTGGCTGAAGCAGGACTATAGAGCGCTGCCTTTATTATCTCAGGGGTTAACTCCCGTTTACTTTGTGCCACCGTTACCAATTTTAGAGCATTATAAAACTCAGCTCGACCAAGGTAACCAGCTTTCTTCGAATCTGCATATGCCCATACCTACAATGGAACAATCCAAGGAATAATTCTATCATGTAACGGGGATCAAGAAAAAGCTTTAAATCAGAACCCCTCAGCAGATGTTAACTCCAGAAAGTCGTTGAAGGTTTACACGTATGCAGAATATTCCAGATGCACTCATTAAATATATGGTAATTAGAACTTAGAATTGCTAATATATCACCCATATGCTATTGTGAACTCAATGCACATTCACCAAATAGAGAAAACATGTGTATCAAACATAGTTCTGGAAAACACTGCATTATCTTGTACGGTTCAACTATATCACCCAACAAATCCATCAGAGATCTTATTGCGAGAAAATTGCAGCACAAGAAATACTAAAGTCTTCAACCCGACAAAACAATATGCACTAGCTAGTACAAAACAGCCATTTGTAGTCTCAACGGCAAACATTTTCAGCTTGAACTAGGATCTCCACTCGGATAGCATCAAGGAACCAATCATCTCCAGAGTGAAAAAGTTAAAAGACCCTTGAAGCAATCCAGCAGAGATCAATGTAAATTCCTAAGAAATGATCCAATGTAAATTCCTAAGCAATGATCCAATGTAAATTCCTAAACCCATAAGATCCAATGCAAAAATTGAATTACATCCAAATAAATGGACAACCAAAGAAACGAAATAGAGGGAGATTCAGGGAAAGGACCTGAGCAAGGACGTGTTTGGGCAAATTCGACCCCTGAAAGAAAGCAACAGCCTCAGCTCCACTGATGTGACCATCACCATCCAAATCCGCCCTCCTGAAATACGCATCGAACAGATCCTCGCCGCCGGCCGGCCTCGGCGCCGCCATTTCGCGTGTTCAAAAAAAGGAAGGCGTCCCAAATCCACCAGCTGAAACAGTGTCAAGAAATCCCCCACCTCATAAGCACCGAAGAACAGGGCCCAATCTCCGCCGCACGAGAAGAGACACAAAAAAAAAAAAGCCTAACCCGAAAGGACCTCCCCTCCCCAGATAAACACGAGATCAGTACGAGAAACCATAAACAGGGAGGAATCTCGATGGAAACGAAGAAAAACAGAGATAATATCGGTGAAAGTGACGGCTAAGCAGCAGCCATGGAAGGGTGCGACGAGGAATAAGACGAAGATGACTCCCCGGCATAGACAATTCGGGGCACCGGGAATTGAGATGGAAACCGGTAAGAGAGGGGGAAGCCGGGAAGGGGTTGAAGATTTTTGGGAAAGTTACATAAATAAATCATAAAAGAATAACCTCACCATGTTTTAAAAAAAAAACATTATTTCTCTAGAAATATTCATTCCATTTATCAAAAATAAAAAGCATGCTATTTTTTTTTCTTCTAAATACACAATAATAAATAAATTAAATATATATTAGGATCAGAACAAAACAGTTAAATGTGGATTACAACAACTGTCTTAGACAAACGGATTAGAGTATATCTGAAACACAACAAAATTGAAGAGAAGGGACCTCACAGCAATGGACAGGGCAGCCTCGTACATTACAGGAACTGTACTGTCTATCATCTGCCAAAAAACAGAACACCCTAAGTCACTAGAAACCCCAGAATCATTTCACAAGCTTTCTCATGATTTCGGATTCAATAACAAACAGAAGAACAGTTCCAAATTCCAATCCAACAAAATGATGACTGTATATATATATATATATATGTTGCAGCAGATGATTGATCACTTTGATGGATCTCCTCAGCAAATCTTCTGCCCTGCAAGGCTGCACCTGCTGTTGTTGTTGTCTATATAAAAGATGGTTTCATGGCTTCGAGCATTAAGGACATGGAATTAAGCCAAATCATCGATGGCCTTCAACCTAAGCTAAGCTAAGCTACTTCGGGTTCTAACTCTATCGATAAGCATCTGCCTCCCCGAAAGATCTTCCTCGTACCCAACAACCTGCCATTTTATTCTTATGGTTAAGCGTTAATATCGAAGTGGTGGACGACAAAAACACAATGCACTAATCTTCCAAAACACAAGCGTTAATCGCCTTTCAAACACACGAACCATCTCTGAGAGTAAAAAAAAAAACCCTTCAACCCTTTCTTGCCTCCAATACTAGATCACAATCTCAAATGCTCATGAATAAGTTTCTTCAGAAATTTTGATGAAAGATCTGATGGAATACATAATCTATATATCTTCTAGCAAGATCAACAAGGACTACTCAGTTTGCAAAGCAAGTATATCTTGATTCATGTCTAGTGTCTACACTACGGATGATATTAAGGGTAAAATGAAGGCTTTACCGCAGTTTGCTTTAAATTTAGCTGACAACAGACATGAATGCTTCTGCCATGGAAACAATTCAACAGAAGGAATTTCCAGAGAGTAAGAACAATGACCTGAGATTCTGTTTGCGTCTCACTAAAATTTCCGTAAGTGCCTGAAGTCACACCTCCCGAAGGACTGAGGACTTCATCATGCTTTGGAACCCTAAAACCGTACAACAAGATTAGCATGTAATACTGAAACAAATATGACAAACAATGCAGCTTCAGTTATGATTTGCTTCCATTCGATTTGTACGGAATAATAGGCGATGTATTACCATTTGAAGGATTGTGCAGCAATATTAAGTAAAAATGGCAGTTGAAACAAGACTTTTGAAGGGTTTAGGGTTTGTGTATTTAAACACAACTCTTTTTCAGCAAAACAAAATTCTTTTCGTTTAATTGGATTACGTACGGTACATGGCACTAAAGTATAATACCAGAACTACTCTTCCAAATGCACACAGGCAGTCACCTCAGACGATAGAAATTAGTCACATTACCACCCTGATGAGCAGAGGGGGAAAAAACCAAAGAATAGAGTTTTACCTGTTTAACCAGTGCCTTGAAAGACCGGTGACAGCATGAATCCCGGTGTTGGATTGTTCAACAGCCAAAGAATTAGATGGAAAAAGCTGAAAACGTCAAGGATTTAAACTATTCCAAAAATCGATCTCTCAAAGGAAAAAGCAAAGAAAGAAATGAACAAACCTATAAATAAGGATACAGTTTTATCTGAAATCCTCACAGGAGAATTCTGATCTTGTATCTAACCGGAAAAAGACAGAGGTAAATGGGAAGGAAAGAAAGATGATTTGGATTATCAGACTAAATATCCAGGGAAGGAAGTGATACTCACTTTACTTGTCTGCTCTAACAGGTCCTCGATAGCAGCAGCCACATCTGGAACTACACGACCACTTTCTACATCATTAACAGACTCATTGTCCTCTCCAGAATTCAAAGCATAACCATTATTGCTCGGGTGTTCTCCCATAGGAAGCACATGACCTTCTTGACCGTCTTTCGACAGCCTTGCCTTTTTATTCAACTGCCTTCCAATATCTCCATGTCTGTTGTTTAATTCACCTTCAATGCAGCCATTAGCATCTTTCCTCTCTTCAGATTTACTTACAAACAACGACCCATTAGCCCTCGAGGTCATTGGTACAAACTGTGTAGGAAATTGACTTGCCAAGCAACACCCGGCTTCTCGGTCTTGAGTGGTCATTTGCTTTGGATGGAAATTATCTGAACCAACAACTTGATTCTGCAGAAGAGCAAAAAGAAAAAAGGAATGTTTGTTAAAAAAATTCACATGCCTACGCCAAAGAACCTATGTCAATGGCATGAGGCACTGAAGACCCACCTGTCTAACACATTCATAAACCCAGTCTGATGTTACTGAAACTATCCCCCACTTGCAAGCTGCCTCATACTTTGGCCCATCAGCGAATTTGCATAGCAAGTGAGTGACTTTCCTGGTCAGTTTTTCGACAAATTTTGCCCCAAGAACAAAGCATAGATTTCTCAGGAGCAATCTATCTTTCTCCTCATATTGAGAAACACAAATACGAAAACTTTGGAATCCAGACAAAGGAGTCTGGCAGGGTAGAGGGGAATAGAGGATGTGACTACCAACATCAAGTAAACAGCCAACCTACACCATAATGAAGCATGGATAAGAAATTTTAAAAATACATGGGCAAAACTTTGAGAATAATAGACAACAAATCAACTGCAGAAGATGAGAGCGAAAACAGTAAGAAAAGGCTTAAATGGATGATGATATAGCAGAATTATCCATTCACTCCGACCATAAAGCACTGCATACTCAATGGAACACCTGATAGATAATAGGTAGCCGCCGAGAAAGTATATATTACCTCTAAACAAGATCTGACCCAATGACTCGAGACATAAGTAGTTTGGGTGGTCCAAGCGGTCCTAGGGATCACTCCATGACATTCAACAGTAAAATCAACAGTGTGTTTAAAAGGATCATTTACCACTTCTCCCCCTCCTACATTGACCCATTCCACGATTTCAGCCCTCTGCAAAGAAATCAAAAGGAAAAACAGCAATGAATAGACCGAAGAGACACATCTCTAAGAATGAGGACCCAACATCCATCAGGGAAAAACATTCTTCTGTTCTGATTTCTGATGAGTTCATACCCTGTCTTCAGGAAAAGAATGTGAGAAACAAAATGATTTCCCTCTAAATACAAATAATGTTGTGCCTTGCTTGTTCTGATCATTGGAGTCGCGATGTGTTCTCTGTTCCATACTTTTTCTATTTTCAAGAGAAGGAAATGACTCCTTTTGCTTGGGTGACCCCATATTAGCTTCTACATGGATCTTTTCTTTCCTACCAGATTCTACCCTGCCTTCTACATGGATCTCTTCTTTCCTACTAGATTCTACCCTGACTTCCACATGGATCTCTTCTTTCCTACCAAATTCTACCCTGTCTTCAACATGGCTCTGTTCTCTCCTACCAAGTTCTACCCTGTCTTCCACATCGATCTCTTCTTTCCTACCAAATTCTACCCTGTCTTCAACATGACCCTGTTCTTTCCTACCAAGTTCTACCCTGTCTTCCACATGGATCTCTTCTTTCCTACCAAATTCTACCCTGTCTTCTACATTCTTCCCAAATAACATTGCTGCACCAGTCGAATCACTGATACTCCTTGCAGAGGTATCATATGGCATGGTTCGACGAAGAGAGGTTTTACTCTCATCCATATCGGGTATCCCTGCAAGAGATCCCTTGATTGAGCATGTAGAATCTATATTGCACAAAAGACAGGTGGGTTAGAGAAGCCGAATATGATGTCAAATGGTGCTAGTCAGACACATCTCAGACAGGAGACACAGTCCCACAACCAAAAAACATTAGTGTACGAGATGAGGTAACTGCAAACCTCTTGGAAGAATCAAGTTGTGAGCAGTGTACTTTTTATGGACAGGAATTTCTTTTCTCCCTCGGTCACAATCCTCAAGCCAACCGGTTGTCACCACTTGAATGATGCCTGAAGCTGCTACTCTTCTCGCTTGCCTTTTCTCACTAGAAACATGAAGTACATGCAGAGATCATAAGATTAGTTTGAATATACTTATATAGATCACCCAAGCAGAATCAATCATCATGAGAAAAATAAAACCAGTTCTAAAAGGTGACTTACCCCTCTGAAGGAGTTCCAACAACAATGTGTGTCAGTTTATCATGAAGCTGAATATACCGCGACCCCCCACCTCTGCGTACCATGTTAACAAGTCGGCGCATTTCCGAAGCTCCAAAACCAATAAAGAATATTCTACACTCTGACAAGTACAGGTCATTGTCTTCAGACTCTGAGTCTTCGGCAACACAACCATCGACATTGTTCTCTTGAGGCTCTGTAGTTGGGTCAGCACTATCTCCTTTAACAAAGGCCGTGGGATTCATAGATGAGGAACAAACATTCTGTGAGACAGAAGCTTCTAAATCTGATTCTCTAGACTGAGAACCAGCTGGTACATCAGATTCTGCAGCAGCCGAAGACACTGGTACTGCATTGCCCAACACCTTTTCTTGACCATTCTGGCTCGCTAAGGCTCTTGTTCGTTTAGTCGAGGATGCGAAACCATTATTAACTGGATATGACTCCTCACTGAGACACACTACATATAACAGAATGACAAATCAGTATGAGGGGCAATATTCTAACTTACTCCGGAAACACTATGCTGAATATTGCAGTAAAAGAATGCAGAGAATACAAAAAGCAGTAGACATTACCTTTTCTAGCAATGGACTGATCAAACCATTTCCGAGTTACAATATGAATGTGGCCCCATTTCCGGGCAACTCTATATTTGTCACCTTCAGCGATGTAGGCAACATCAAGGAAAACAAATTAACTAAGACCAAATATCCCCAGATTTTAGGGCACATGAGGCTTGACGAGAATTTCTACCTATATCACAATCAGATAATAGTCATAGTTATATATGATTCTGACTTCAGAGAACCCAAAATTGAAACATTGACAACTTCTGGGATTGAAGATAAATGCCATTTATCAATATGACTAAATATAATAGGAAAATCAGCACGCGACCCATAAAATTATGTTAAAAGGATATATCAGCAATCAAATGTGTACAGTTCTTGGTCAATTCAGCAGAATACTTCCCTCCGTTTTGTGAAATGAGCTTCTCAATCTCCTTACGCTCATCTGATGGTAAAAGCTGATTAGCAACCAACCATGAACCTCAACAGCACAAGAACAAAAAAAAGCCTATTCTCTAACCTGCTGGAATTCTTGTAACACAAATTGTCAACCCAGAAAAAGGAAGAACTTTGTATGGTTCCTGGGGAACAACACGGTGCTCGTTCCAACACTGATGTAACCAATTTAGTGTAACAACTGGTTTCTTCTGAATATTCAGAGCCCACTGCATGGTGAAAGAAACTCACAAAAATCAATTAAGGCGTCCCAAAGAAATAAGCATACACTGTTTTCAAATAGCTTCTTGAAGAAACCTCATCAATCAAATCTGACTATGGAAGGACTATTCTACAATGGAAATCGAACCACTAAAATAGAGCTAACTATTAATAACATCATCCAACCACCATCAGATGATAAAGAGAGAAAAACCCATCACCAACAAGAGTGGGAAGTCAGAGCATAAAAGCATTATCAGCTTTGTCTCTATCATCAAATCTTAGTCCTGATAAGAGTAAAATTACATGAATATGCCAATCTTACAAGCCGTAAAATGCAAATGCATGAAAAAAAAAAGAATGATAGTCCAATACAAAAAATGTTAATAAAACGGGGAAAGAAATAAAAAATTAAAGAATATGGATCACAGTTTTTGAGGAATAGACCTTGTACTTGGCAGCCAAGACATTCTTCACAACTACGAAATTGACATCTGAAGATGCTTTGCCAAGCAATACTCCCCCCATGGCTGTAACCAACTTGCCAATCTTGACCTGGAAATAGTTGCAAGCAACCAGGGTTAGATGGTTAATGTCTGTTTAAATGATATCAGTTGTCCTTAAGAATAGGCAAACGAAATGAAGCACCTTCTCATCCATCTGAAAACCGGAAGCAAGAACTTTTAAACCATCCATCGCTAGGCAACAAGTGAATCCCCCTTTTGGCAGCGGCCTGTTCTCTTTTGCACAGGACAGTACACATTGGGGACCTGCTTCACAACAAACACAATGATTGTTCAGAACAAGAACAAGAGACACGAGAGTAAACAGATAAGAGACACAATCGTTTCCATGTCTAGTTACAACTTAATTGAGTTTAACCACAATCTCAACTTCGGCTAAAGAACCCCAAACACGGACAAAAGAGCTTGATCACATCGATAGATTCCAATCACCAAGCTTGACTCTCTTAATACTGAAGTAACACTTAGGAGTGACATGATAACAAAGACCCAAATGCCGTATGCAAGGAGAAAATCCATTCGGAGAAATATCGACAAACCTTACCTATCAAATTACATCCCTTGACTCTAAGATCCTCGAATTTCTCCTGCAAAGGCCGAAATTTGCATGCAATTCGTGTAAAAAGGGAGCAGGATTTCCCAAAGGTGAAGCGAATCGAAGCTAAAAAAGAGAGAGAGAGAGAACGCGAACATGATTAGGAGACGCGATGACGTGAAAATCGTCAGGGCCGTTGCGGGAAGGGTCGCAACAGAGGAAAATATCGGCGCCATTAAGCTTGAGAGCGTCAAGAAGTGCATCGAAAACCTCCGGCGGAACAAGATTGCGCGACATGAACACATTCGAACCCTTGAACAGTTGCGTGGTCTTCATCTTCCAAACCTACACTCCTCTCCCTCCCTCTCTCCAAGCTTCTGTGAGATTCGAGAAGAAATCGTCAATTCAAACGCCAGAAGCGGCGGAAGAACATTGGGTAGTCGAAGCTTGGGCGACAGACGGGGTGGGTGTTCAGTTCGTGAATCGTGTTTCAAATGGGAGCAAAATTAGACGCGGGAATTCATTTAATTGCCATCAAGACGTCATTACATTTGCCGATGACATATACGGGTTTTGTTACCCTATCATTTCATTTATGAGATGTTTACATTTTCCACATGCATTTATTCTATTTTTAATGTCAATACCAAAAAAATCAACACAGCAAAATCAGAACTACTGCTCTTGAAACCTAATTTTTTTTTTTATACAGAGGAAATCGACTCTTTAGCGTAAACGGAGACTAGAAGTAGACAATATGATGTGTAGAGATTAAAAAAAAGGAAGAACTTCGCTACAAAAAATGGCACAGAAGCTTAATTCCGTACCACCTGCAAACGGGAAGAGAATTAGAGAGGCGGCGAAGAGGTACATAGCTGTCTCCTCCACCAAGACAGCCTCGGCAAGTAACATCATCATCATCATCATTATCATTCATCAGTCATCATCATGTCAACTTGACTGGTTCAGGTTTAGATCCAACCCAGCGGCGGCATGAGGTTTCCGAGGAGGAGCCGAGACAACCTGCAGCTGTGGCTGCTGCTTTGTCAGGGCCAGAACGAGCTGCTTCTCGGGAGGCGGGCCATACTCTTCGGGCTCTGACCTCGTCTCTGTCCTTCTCTTTACCGCCTTTGTTTCTTCTATGTTCCCACTTCCCTTTAGCTTATCGTTCTGTTGCTTCGATCTCTCATGAGAAGAGTCGGGTACATTTGTGGTTGTGCTGGGATCAACGCTTGTTTTCTCTCCGCCATGCTTTTGCTGAACAACTGCAGCTGGATCAGGCCGAACAGTTCCTAACTGCTTCCTCTTCTTCATATTTGCTTCGGTCTTCAAGGTAGAGAGATGTGGGGAAGGATGATAACAGATAGAGGCATGAGGAACATTGGAACAATTCCGAAATCATATGGCTATGAAGTAAATGCCGGAAAATTCTTATCACATACCACGATCTTTTCGTACGCTGCTCTCCGCCTCTCTTTCGCTCGGCAAATGGCACGCTTGATCCCGTGATTGTCCATTAACCGGTTGGGCCACAGTTCTGCCAACTGGACCATTAACATATACAGAGAAGAATTCAGTAAAAGTTCATGAAATCATCATAAGAATCCGGGCAAGGTGTCTGTAGATCTAGAAAACTGAATCGTGAAGAGGGCTTGGAACCAAGTAAACCAGGACACGACAGAAGATTACTGAGTCGGAAAAAGAGATGAATTTACCTCTACATATAGCTTTCTGATCTGTGGACCCACATCTTCATCCAACCCCTAGTCAATCCAAAAAGAAGAAACTGAGTTGATACACGAATAACTAACATGGGTCTAATAAGCAGGAAAGATTTTCATGGCGGGTTATCAAAATAAAGTTTTCATTACATCAACAAAGATATCATATAGATCACAAATTTTGTCCTCCAATGCCGCATCCATGACAAAATTCTTCTTTTGTGGAGCTTTTTCTATAAAGCCAGCGTCTTGAAAATCATCTGATTTTCCAGCTTGTTGTTCTGTTGCCTGTGACATGACAATGTTTAATGTAAGAAATATGCAATGGCTTCAGAGTTCCGAGGTGAATCAATCAACAGTCAGATAAAAGGGAACTAAATCACAAAGAGAGGATTCATTCTATAAGGAATAATTTGAACAGATACCACAATTTTTTTCATGCAAGATAATGACAATTGAATAACTAAATTCACCATTATTGAAAGGAATAGAAGTGTTTATGTAAAACATAGGAGAAAAGAAACCATGAAGATTAAAGCGGAGACAACTAGTACGGTTGAGGGAAGAGAACCTGAGATTCCATCAAAGGGACTTGTGTCTTTATCATCTCGATTACTTCCTTCTTGATCCGTTGGAATTTATCATCTCTCTCCCGGTTTGCAGACATGCTCCCATCAATCATAATTTTCAAGTGCCTCTGAAAGAAGAAACATTACAAACTGTAAGAAATTCAGCTCTAGTTCTAGAAAACCAAGTCTTGCTAGCTTTCTTCTGAGAACAGCATATATATCAACTAAAACTTAACAATTCCATCAGTTTTAACACCTCGGTAGAAAGTACAACGAACAACTATGTTTCAATAAAAAAAATGTCAATATCTAGCAGATAGAGAACATAACCTTAAGTGATCTAAGCTGTATTAGGTGACCAACAATGCTCATAAGGCGATTGATCAACTCCGCCGAAACCTTTCCTTCCTTTGCCTGCCTCAAGGAAGAAAATTTACGCAGTCTTTCTCATAGCCTTTAAGCACAAAAACGGTAGTATGAATAGATGAGATCTCCTACCGCTATCCTAGCAACTTTACCAAGCTTCACTTTTACTTCCCTTGGCAATCTCCTCTTAACTCCCTGGGATGAAGTATCAGCTTCTTGGCACTCAGGCCTTGCTGCAAGAAAAAATTAAGAATATAAGTTAGAATTTACTATAGCAGTATTCTCGTTTGTCATCCACGAACGTCTGTGTGTATGAGAGAGAGATTGGGACTCACATTCTGCAACCACTTTCTCTAATTCCCTGATGGCTTTCTCAAGCGATGAAGTTTTAGGCCTCACATTAGAACTATCTTTTTTCTGAGCAGAGAAAGGTTTCTGCAGAATTGAATAAATAAATTTGATGTAGGTATTTTGGTAAAACGAGGGAGGAGAAAAAAGTTAGCCACGGAGATTCACACTGATTTCAGATGAAAACTAAAGCAAGAAAGCGACTGCTTAAATGAAAGTGAGCTACATGCATGAGAGAAATGATACGCTGTGACTGAATTTTCTCATCGAGTCCTAATATCTTTGTGATCAGAGAATCATCATTCATAGAGACATCAAGATGACAGAGCCTAAATTCTTGTTTCCTTTACAATACCTGACCAATTACAATGAGGATTTGTATTCACTTAAAAAAGTTGGGAAATACTTATTACTTACAGCCTTTTGCATAAGCTGTCTGCTTCCTGTTGCATTCGCCTGTTCATGCATGCCGTTCTTTTCTTTCTTAGTAACTGCTGCTCCTGCCAAAACATTTTGCAGAGAATTCCCTGGCACGGAACTAGATTGTTGGTGAGCACTTTTGTTGTTGTACTTTTGAAGAAGTGCATCAGAAGGTCCAACATCCTTTGCCTTGTGACTTGCAGCATTTTTCAGCTGATGATTTGCTTTTTCGTAATATTTCGCATCTTCCAAAGATAAGGAAGCATTGACAGCTGGGCCTCTGAAAGATGACAAAGAATCTTGTGCTTGTGCTGCCTTTGCATCGGTAGACTTTTTCTTCGATGACTGCCGAGAAGCATTTGATTGATCCTGGACTTTCACATTCACATACTGAGCCATCATACTCGAGCTCTAGAAAGGATTCAAATAGTTCTTCGTAATAAAAGGTGTTACCTTTTCCCCGGCCATCTTAGCCACTTTCACTTGTTTATTCAACACATCAGCAACATCACTACAAGGTTTTGCTGACTCTTTCCTTTGCCTTTTCTTCAATTGCAGGTTAGATGTTGTCGAAGGTTCACTGCTGGAAAAGGAACCAGGATTAGTTGAAATGGAACACAAGATCTTACCCAACTCTCCACCCTTGCATAAACCAGAACCTACATGGAAAGAACATAATACTTTCTGGGAAAGTCAACTTGATTGTTGCATTTTTACCATGCAAATTAATTGCGGAAGAAAGATTGCCAAGAGTAAAGTATCTAACAGTCCTACACTTGGAAAAGCAAAGTACGACAAAACTGCAGAAGAAAAGAAAGCCAGTTAGTTAATGGTTTTTTTTACAAGAGTTTCTCCGCCTGAAATGTTTTGATAATATGCTACCTAGTCTCCATTCTCCAAAGATCTCAGTAAATGACAAGGGTCCAGGGACAGGACAACGACATAGTTAGGTGACAAGATGCAAAGTAAAGAGCAAAGGAAAACTCACATCCGCTCCAACTTTCCTCTATTGACAAAAAAGCCATCATGTTTAACTGCTGAATTATCAACTTCAAAATACTCATTCTGCATAGAAATAGAACAAGAAACAAATATATGATGTCTGCGCTATCAAGCAACTAATGTCATATTAAAAGAAACAAAAGAACATATGAAAGAAGACTAACCAATTCAGCATCATCGATAAATGAATCCTCAGTGTCATACTCATCGTCATCCGGAGAACTATCTAACTCTTCCCCGCTACTATCTTTTCCCTGAGAATTATTCATGTAAGTATACATTATTTAGCAATTTATAGATGCTATGCTGCTGTGCAATATGTTTTGGGTATTAGAACTTCAACGATCCTCTAACCAGTGTCAACAAAAAGAAATAAATAATAAACAAGGACATTGTACCATATATAATCTCTCAATCTTCTCAATAACAGCACTAAAACGATTAGGTTGGTCAGCCTTTTCACCTTCCGCAGGGTGCCCCTGCATTGCATATAACGATACGGTTGTAGGAAATGATTGGGCCAAATTGCATGAAAATAAAGAATAAAAAGGAAGTAAGCCACAAATACTCTCATATTAAAAGTTATAGACCTGTGCTCAAGGATAACCAATTTTCATGTGATAGGAGATTGCTTATAGAACAATTAAAACTACAATATTCACTTATACAACTGTATTCTATCACAGCTCAGTATCCCTTTCTGTATCAATAATGGTAATCGGTCGCATATTCAAGTTATTGACAACTAGGCTATAACAATATAGCTATAGCAGGCGACAACACCATCTATCGAACCTCAACTCCAACTAACGAGCAAATCGTGAGCCACTAAAAATACTACCAGTTCAACTTCAAAACAGTAGTCAGTCACTGAATAATTCGCAAATGAGGTATAAAAAGCAAGAAAAACACAAACAACATCTTATATCTTCATCAGATGAAAGAAAAACGTCCGCCATCCAGCTCAAGGATGCCCCAACTTTCATGTGATAGGAATGCTTTTAGAATGATTAAAATTACTATCTTCACCAGTTCAACTGGAGTCTGTCACTGCTATCAACATTCATTTCTAGATCAACTACAGTAACTGATGGCAGATTCATGTTACCACGATGAGGCAATAACAATGTAGCTATAGCAGGCCATTCGCACCGTCTATCAAACGTCAACCCCCATTACCTAGCAAGTCTAGAACCATAGACAAATACAAGCAATTCAACTTGGGAGAACTAGCAACCATAAAAAGGACGAAAATACAGCCTCCTAGTCCTTTGGTCAGTATCAGTTTCAAGAATTTGTCCGTCAAAACCCTAGTTGCAGATTCAAATTCAAAGAGCAAGGACAACACAATTCCTCCTACCCCCATCTCAATGTTTCAAATCTTTCGGACACTTCTCAGAAACCAATCGGACAAATTCAATTAACGATGAAACTCAGCCCAGGTAAAACCCTAACTATTCGAAAGAAACTGCAGGTCCTAGATACAAGGGCAACAAAATTGACCAGACAGAGACAGAGAAGCACCGAATATGCACAAAACCCTATACGTATATATACATACATACGTATACATGCGTAGTATAGCTAAACTCACCTGTGCTAACCGAGTCTCAAGATTAGGGTTAGCGTTCGGAGGCGGGTCGGGTACCGACGCAGAGGTGCCATTGACCTTGCTCGCCTCCTTCATGAGCTTCTTCCACGAGACATACGTCGTCTCTCCAGGCCGGAGCTCTACAATGAGCAATTGTCGGTCACCGGCGGGGGCGGGCCATTGACCTTGCTCGCCTCCTTCATGAGCTTCTTCCACGAGACATACGTCGTCTCTCCAGGCCGGAGCTCTACAATGAGCAATTGTCGGTCACCGGCGGTGACGAGCTTCGGCGAAGCCCTCGATGATTCACCGGCAGTGAAACCGCCACTCGTGCCCTTGGGTTCCGACATTGGCCGGGTCAGGTCCAGTCCCCGGTTGACTGTCTTCGGAGACAACGAAATTAGGGTACGAATCAGGAGAGGGGATCGGGAGAATAATATGATGTGAAGACTGAAGGCAGAGAGAGGGAGAGATTGAAGCTGCGAATACGATGAAGAATTTCGTTATTTGCGAATTTTAAATGTTAATATTTAAATTCTTAATTAAAATTTTAAAAAATTAATCATTAAATTAGAATCATAATATATATATATATATATATGTTAAATATCTATCTGATCCATTAGCTGCACTTTCCCTCACTTTCTCGCTCCCCAAACACGCCTCCGATGTCGTCGTCGTCTTCTTCGTTGGCCGCAGCTCCGTTCCTCTCTCTACTTCCCTTCGCCTCGAAACCTCCATGTCCCCCCACCCCAGTCCTACACTTGGAAAAGCAAAGTACGACAAAACTGCAGAAGAAAAGAAAGCCAGTTAGTTAATGGTTTGTCAAGGTGGACGATGTCGACGGCGACGGAGGTGAACCGGATGACTACGATGTGGACGAGGAAGAAATGGAGGAGGTCGATAACAAGAAGGACTACGACGTCGAGTACGACCCTTTAGCCGCCGCAATGGCTGGTTCCCGGGGCGGCGCCGGAGACTTGGAAATATCTATTGTGCAGAGCAAGAGCTTTATCTCGACGCAGGGTTGGGACTCGGAGATGGTGGTTGATTACAGGATAAACGAGGACGAGTTCCATAAGATTAGCTTGTTGGACTGCGATTTCTTCATAAGGAAACCGCCAGATCCGGACAACGATGTTTATGACTTCAGGGAGGTCTGTTAATTTCTCCCCCAACCCTGAATCTTCGTGCTTTGGTTGCTGACATACCTGAATTTGCTCACATTGGGTCGATTTTCTTATGATTTTACGGCATTTCTGTGGATGTAGATGTACGTTACTCCTCCGGATACAGATGTTTACGCAATTCCCAGAGTTCTTGCTCCAATGCCTCAAAAGGTTAGCATATGCTTTGGCAGTTCGATAATGCAAGCTTGCTTAGATACTAACTTGTTCCACTTGGTTCCTCTGATCCCTGCGGCTGTATATGCTGTGTAATATGATCTCTGCGTGGAACTGTACAAGTATGGGATTCCTGTGTTTTGGGTATTAGACCTTTTGGTGGAGTGTTGAGTAACCTGTTAAACATGGAGATTTCTATTGCTTGCTCATTGAGCTTCCCTAGTTTTGCATACATTGGCCTTCGGTGCTTTGTTTCGCTGAAAAGATATTTTTGCTTTGCATCCCGGAATAAGTCTTGGATTGGTTTCAGGCTGATAAGGGTTTGTTTAATGATGTTGAAAATGCAGTACATTCGCTGTGCGATGAGTGACTATGGATGTTACAATGTCACTGAACCACCTATTGATGCACCACGAGACCCATTGTACAAATCCGAGAGAGAGATCTCCAAGGCATGTATCGGACCTTTCCCCTGCATTTACAAATGATTTTCTTGATTTTGGTTTTCAAACTTCCTGGCTGGCAAACCGGAAAATATTTACTCGGAACATCAATGATGATCTTGATGTTCAAAATTAATCATGGAAAGAATGGATGTAGACTGTAGAGGACATATGAGAAACAGCTAAGTTTGGTTTGGTAGTAAAATTATCTGTTACAAATCTTCATTGTGTTAAGCTCTATCTTGCAGGTCTTTCTGACGAAGCACTATCGAAACAGAAGGCTAAATGATCCAGATTTCGTGCTAGACTTTGAAGAGATCTACGTTATCGACTCCAAGACGAAGTCCGTCACTAGAGCTAAAGTTCTTGTAAGACATACCACTTACTTGCTAATGTTTTTAGGCACTCTAAACCCAAAACTGGTCTCTATATGATCGGTGTTTTTCTGTTTACATTAGAAAGTGCAGTTCACTCTAACGCACGAGTTACAATCTTTGTTGTTGCTCATATATACCTGTTTAGGGGTTGCTCGAATTCTGATTTTCGAAGTACTGTGGGTTGGTACTTTGTTTAATTCGAATGATATTCCGAGTGGTCAGGTGACGGTCCCGGGAGGAAGAAATAGGGACAGGAAGAACGACGTGCTTGTAATACGTGATAATGGCAAATCCTTCAAAATCATAGACACTGTGAGCTTTCCCCTCGACACCCCTTTCCCTCTCTGAGCCCATGTTTGCTCGTCAAATCATTTTTTGCTTATGTTATAAATGCTTTTCAGAAGGAAAGAGAAGATCCGACCACTGTGATAGAGAGGGAAGAATGGGCGAAAACCCGAGAAGACATGGAGAGACATCTAAGGAAGCTAAGAGACTTCAGCGTCTCCAATTGGTTCTAAACCCATCAGAATCTTTTTCCCGAGACACCAACCATTGCCTCAAAGACTCCTGTCCCCATTCGAACAGAAGCATCCGATGCTCAAGTGCTATACAAATGTTTCTCCCCAACAAACCCCACTCAGTGTGTCACTTTTGTAACATGCTTAAATTGTATGTACCCATTTTTGTAGGATAATGTTCCATTGCATGATTGTACTTGAAAAATGATTGTTAAGATCAAAGAGTTTGGGACTCGAAAAGTGAACACCTAATCAAATGGTGATTTATCTACAATTGTTACCCTTTTTTTCTTTTGTCCAGCCATTGAAATAGAAAACAGGCAACAGAGATATCAACTATACACCCGATCCACGGATCAGATATCCAAAATTCTGAGTATTTGTCCATCCACGGTACAGATGCCCTAGCCGGCGAGAACTCAACCTGCACCATGCGGGATATCCGGACTTGTACAAAGCCGAAGTCTGTGCAATCGAAATCGGATACATCAGATAAAACTCGAATATTCGGCCCGTGTTGCCAAACTAACTATAACATCTCACTACATATACAAGTCACTTTGCTTCTCAGATCCATACAACACACATAACAAATCTTCACAATGTCTCAAAAGAGACAGAAAGAAGATGATAAAAAATAAGAGTCGGTGGTATTTATGAATGATTTCTTCGAGAATGACCATTAGCCGATGACGGTGTACAAAGCATTGTCCTCAAACATTCGTCATCCATCCATGGTCTGAACGCGTCATCATGACATGCATACTGCATAAACCACACCATCCCACATCACATCACATCATCATACTCACACACACACATCACAATAAGTTGAACTTCCACTTACCTTGATATAAAAGAACAATCCTCGCAACAGATTCAAGGCTCCATGACGATCCTTTAGAGGTAACTGCAGCAAGTACTTGAATTTCGCCGAACCAAACCGACGCAAAAACAATCCACTGAAATCTGTATATTCATTGTGAGTTAGTCAATATCGACATCATAACCATAATCAAATCTTTACGAGTTAGTCTATATTTGGAAGTCCGCAGCTATATCTTTACCCTTCAGACACCTACCAAGAATATATTTTGCAAAACCAAATCTAAAGAAACAAACTTCAATGTTCTTGCCAATTTTACCCGGATGATGATGAAGGACCGACTTTCCAAGATCGCCGACTGTGTAACTTAAAGTTCTTCCATTTCGCAGTTCCCTCTCTCGGATCTTCGGTTTCCGGATGGAAGCAGCACGACAGAGTTTGTAGAGCTCCTTTTCGCTGTACGGTTTCCTGAGAGCATCCATTACTTTTTCTCTCAACCAAGAATTGCGGATCCGACCACTTCCACCGTTCGTTTCATCAATATCCTTTGCATCGAATCCAAAGGAAAAGGAAACTCAGCAAAAAAAAACTAAGATAAGGACATTGAGACAAGAAGGTGTAGAGAGGGTATACGCACAATGACGTTACGACTCTTTGCTGCCACGAAAGGGTTATCGTCTCCATCGGAAAATGGATGATCGTCCACCGCAACAATCTCGGGAACAAATGAAACCTCAGTTTTTTCTATGCGCTTCCCTTGTGGAACATTTTGATGGGTATTACTAGGATTAGTCTCGGTATCCATCATGTAACCGAGGAAAAACCTGTAATCTTCCATGTCGGGGTATTTGCCACTCCTAATCTTGCAAGAATCCACCTTAAGTTCCTCTTCCGAAAGTCTCTTCCTTTTACAAGAGACAGTGCTTTTATCTTCTAACTCGACATTCTTCCTAGACACCAAACTCTTCCTTCCTATTCTGACATTTCCTTTACCCTTTTGAATCTCTGGAACAATCCTCGGAGTCTCGTTCCACAACCTCTTCGAAGCACTAAAAGTCATCTCCTTTTCTGCATTTCGCCTTTCTCTGGAATCTCTACTCTTCTTTTTACCATTTCTTGTTAAAGTATACTCAAGTGGTTTATCATCTACTTCATACGTTAGAAACCTTGTTTCTCTATCTCCCTCAGTGTACTCAAACACTAGTTGACTTTCATCTGATGCTATGTTCTGTAAGAAGTGTAAATACTGGGAATCCGAATCAGTGTTCGGAATTTCAACAATTTCATTACCAAGAATCTTCAGATCTGATCGATTAGCTTCTTCAGCTCCTTGTCTCTTCCTCGGCCTCCCGCGCTTTCTTCGAACACCTACCGTGATTTCCATATCCACTGGACCGCAAGTCTCGTTCTGACCCACGAAAGTTGTCTGAATCCAAAACGATTCGAAATTTAACGTCAGTTCCCTAAACCCTAATTGCCTATCAACCCAATAACAGGAACATGAAAAAGGTTACAACTTTTGAGCTATTCAACACAAATCCGCAACCTTTTCCCACGATTTCTCAAAATTTCCCGAGAATCAAACGTGGAAACGATAAAATTTACTCACCGAGAAAATTACACAACGAGACGGTAAAAAGAATCGGTAACCAGGCACCACAAAGCTTGATTCTTTCCCTGAGAGAGAGGAAAGATCGCAAGCAAAAAAAAAAAAATTTGTTTTTTTGGTAAAGCTCGTTTGGCGCCTCTCTCGTCTCTGCAGCCAAACAGGTCCCTGCAAGTGCAAAGTACGTGTTCTTTTCAAGTCACGATAAAATGCATGCTTTCACTGATATTGTAATATATTCGTAAAATGAAAATTGTGTAATTTTTCCCTCTCTTTTTTAATTTGTTTTGTAAGTAACGCTGAAAACTTTAAAGTTCAAAATATAAACGGAAACTTTGTACGTAGTTACAGTAAAACTAGGCTCTGTATTCAGATTAATCTCCATAACTATAACATGGGTTTTCTAATTCTTTGATAAAAACAAATATAATATGGGGTTTCCTTAAAATTTGAAGGCATAAAGTATAACCGGAGATCTCGTACGATGCCAAAATGTCTAAAGAAAAAACAAAATAGCGAGAAGAATTGGACAAAACCTTTAAACACTTTATGTCGGAAAATAAAAAAATGTGGCTGAGGAAATTTTCAAGTATGTACCGTACCAAGCGGCGCGAATTCTTCTCAGTCAAGAACACCGTAGAAACTTCCATTAGAAGATCGAGGAAACGAGACGAGCAAGATATTTTGATATGGAATGAAATATGATATCCAAATCGGATTATCATTAGATACAGATAAAATCCTATTTTGTAACGAGATATTTTTTTACATAAAATAACGCATATTTATTATAAAAATAGATTAATCTGAATGAGACAAAAAAATGAAGACAAGTACTTAATTATGTCTCTCTACGCAATGTATTTATATTTACATCACTTTCAGTAGCTTCTTCTACGAAGCCTCCTGCATGTGTGTATATATGTGTGTCTCTACATATAGTCATCAAGATTGAAGCTTTCTGCGGAAATCAGATACCCAATTGGCCAAAATAACCAGAAACAACTTTCTCCGACAGAAGCTCGAAGAATTCATGGCTCTCAACAGAAGCTATCTTCGAATAATCTTCGAGAAGCTCGACAAGAACCGCGACGGTCTGGTGACCATTGACGAGCTTCAATGGCTTCTCGAGAGGCTCGGGTTCGTGGAACAAACTGCAGAGGAGCTCCAACTGATCGTTGGAAAACAGAGCCTCGATCTTGACGAGTTCTCGCTGTTCTACGACGCCGTTTCGAAGGACGGTGATGACGACATCGTGAGGGCTTTCGACGTGTTCGACCTGAACGGAGATGGGTATATTTCGTCGGAGGAGCTTCGGATCGTGTTGGACCGTCTCGGGCTTTGGGACGAGTCGAAGGCAGATGATTGCGGGAGAATGACTCGAGTCCATGATAGGAATCTCGACGGTCTGATCGATTTTGAAGAATTCAAGAACATGATCTTACATGTCCAGTAATATATATATATATGTATGTATGTAAATATATATCCAAAATTCCAAATGTATATACATGTGTGAAATGGCTGAAGTTGTGAGAAGATAAAGAACGTTTCCATTTCTTGCTTTTAAAATAAAAAAATTTCCATAATTTTTGTTATAATAAAAAAATAATAAATTCTTTATTTTATAAATAAATATCAAACTTTTTAAATTTGTCAAAAAAAAAAACATCTAAATATTTTACAATTGTAAAAAAAAATAACAAATAAACACGTGATATTATTATAATTTTTTTTTGCAATTGTATATATTTTATATAACTTTTTGAATCATTTAAAAAAATTAATATTTTTTATTATCGTATAAAAATTTATATATTTTTTAGATAATTTAAAAATTTTAGTATTTTTTAAATTTATTTAAAAAAATTAATATTTATTTGATAAAAATAAATGTTAATGTAGCAAAGTTCATTGGTTTTTTTCAATATTTTCCTTTAAAATAAAATAAGATGGACAAATTCTTTTTTTTTTCATACAAAATTGGGCCGATTCATGTTGGGTCATCGCTGGAAATAGTATAGGCCCAATAGAAGCCCATATTCGTTTAAATTTTTATATATATCCATTATAAGTTTGTTTTTTAGAATTTATTTGATTTTTAAACAAATATTTACAATTTTCGGTTACTTATATATCTAATAAGTTTCGTCATTTTTATTAAATAATAATAATAATCAATTTGTTTTGAATGCACATCCAATTCATATATAATTATATTTTATTTGTTTTTTCAGGTCCGAGATTTGAATCCAGCGGATAAGCACGTGGGCACGAGATTTGATGAGGATGCAACTTATCTCAAGTCAAAAACCAGAACTTGAAAAAACTTGTAATAAATTATAAAAACTTAATAGATTCCTATGATTATTATATTATACATTTAGTTTTTGAATTTGACATTGGAAAAAACAAAACCATCGAATTGTAAGTTTTTAAAGAACAGGTGCATGGCAAATGAGTTTCTTTACATATTATTTTCTCTACCTAACACTCACTTTTATATTTACCAAATATAATTAATCCGAATTAGACACACACAAAAAAAAATTGTAATTCACAATGGGTTACAAAAAATTATTTATTGGAAATATATATACAATTATTTTTATAATTAACCTAACATTTATATTTATACTAAATAATAATTTTGGCTGTGTGAATTACAAATATTTTAATTTTAAAAAATTTATGCTAAATATTAAAAAACCAAATTTCAAAATGAAAAACGAAAAATCTTTTCGTTTGAATAATTTATTAGATTCGATACTGTTAATACAAAATGTGTTATTTTTATATATATATATTTAAATTTTATATTGTTTTTTTAATAAAAAAAAGTCCAAGTGTGTAACTAATTATCACAGTCTTTCCATTTGGATAGAAATTAGGCGATTGGTAGGCCTTCGTAGTCTAAGTGCATTATTACCGAATCCGTACACCATTCTCATTCCTTCCAATTCTTCCAACTCCGTCGCGTTAATTTCATCACCACTTCGCCCAAAAAAAAATCCAACGAGCCACCGCCACCGCCACTGCCACGTGTCACCACCTCCAGCTCCGCCGTTGATCCACCGACGCCCCTGATACGTCGCCGTTTCGGTCGTCGTCTCCCACGAATGCGAAGCACCCATCGCTCTCTGCACATGGTGTAGCCCCTGTTTCTCCGCCGGAAAACTAGATCGCCGGTGAAATACACCGTTTTGTCACCGGAGAACCAAGATGAAGCCGTCGACCGTTGCAATTGATATCGTGAAGACACCGAAATTGGTCAAATTTACTGCCTTTGCCCTCCTTTCCATCTCCGTCGTCGTTCTCGTTAATCACTTCTCCTCTTCCTTTTTTTACCCGTCTCTTCGCATTCCCCTCATTTCCAACGCCACCGCCTCCGACGATGTCATCATATCCCCCTCCTCCGACGCGGTGGCGGCGGCTCCCCCGCCGATGCCGCACCTGAAGCACTCGCCTCCGCCGCTTCCGCCGACGGTGGAGCGGACGGGAATCATCGACGACAGCGGAGCGATGTCGGACACGTTCGAGGTTGGAGGGTTCGACCCAGATTCCGTCGACGAGCTTAGATCGGCCACCGACGATTCAGGGAAAGGGGAAGCTGCGGAAGATGATTCGAGGGTCGAGGTTAGGATTGAGAAGTTTAAACTGTGCGATAAGGGGAAGACAGATTACATACCCTGTCTGGATAACGAGGAAGAGATTAAGAAGTTGAATGGAAGCGACAGAGGAGAGAAGTATGAGAGGCATTGTCGGAAGCAGAGTCTGGATTGCTTGATTCCGCCGCCTGATGGCTACAAGAAGCCGATTCCATGGCCGCAGAGCCGAGACAAGGTGAAATAGCGTGATGAAGTAGCTTAAATTACTAGGCAGTAGTTTCTGAAGCTAGTTATCGACATAATCTGGTCCATTTTCTCTCGAGCTTTAAGCTGTCGGGTTCAGCAATTATTAGATCAAGTATTTGGATGGAAATCGCTGGAAAAATATGATCTTTCTTGACAGGGTCTCTGTTCTTTGTCTGATATCTTCCTTGGACTGCGTAAATGGCTTTGCCGATCATGAGTTACTTGCTAATGCTTTTACAGATATGGTTCAATAACGTGCCTCACACTCGGCTAGTCGAGGATAAAGGAGGGCAGAACTGGATAAGAAGAGAGAAGGATAAGTTTGTGTTTCCAGGAGGTGGAACTCAGTTCATCCATGGAGCTGATCACTATTTAGACCAGATCTCACAGGTTTGTTTGTTTTTTCAATTTTCGTATCCCCTTTTAAGGGTTTAACCTGGATCCACATGCTTCCTGTTGATCTGATCTTCTCTTAGATTGAATCTTGCAGATGGTCCCTGGCATTGCATTTGGACAACGCACTCGCCTTGCCCTGGACATTGGCTGTGGAGTAGCGAGCTTTGGCGCCTTCTTGATGCAACGTAATGTGACAACCTTATCCATAGCACCAAAGGACATCCACGAGAATCAGATCCAGTTTGCATTGGAGCGTGGTGTTCCTGCCATGGTGGCGGTATTCGCCACACGTAGATTATTGTATCCTAGCCAGGCATTTGAGATGATTCATTGTTCAAGATGCAGAATTAATTGGACCCGCGATGGTAAATTTCCCGTTCCTGCATCTCTTTTGATGCTTCCTTCATTTGATGATCGTAAGAAAAAACCTTGCTTTTTGTATCGACGTGGTGTGTAGATGGAATACTGCTGCTTGAAGCAAATCGAATGCTCAGAGCTGGAGGATACTTTGTTTGGGCTGCACAACCCGTTTACAAACACGAAGAGAACTTACAAGAACAGTGGAAAGGTTAGTGTAATGATTCTTACACAACATGATACATTATCTTTGATCGTTACCCGTCTGCTATGTAACTAAAAAAATGGAAATTTCGTTTTATCCTTTGTCAGAAATGGTAGATCTCACGAGTCGAATGTGTTGGGAGCTTGTCAAGAAAGAGGGATATATTGCTGTGTGGAGGAAGCCTCTAAACAATAGCTGCTATATCGGTCGGGGGTCTGAAGCAAAGCCTCCACTTTGTGGTTCTAATGATGATGCTGATGATGTTTGGTACAATACTTAACCCGAAAATATCTGTTATCTAAGTTTATTTTTCCACGAGCCGTGTGCTTTGATTTCTACTGGTTAATTTTGATTGCTGAAACTACTATTATCCATGTGGTTACGAACAGAAAACTCAGATTTTTTTTCAGCTTATCGAGAGATAACTCTATGGTTATGGTTACCGTTGCAGGTATGTGGATATGAAACCATGCATCACCCGATTGCCTGATAATGGCTATGGCGCTAATGTCAGTGCTTGGCCTGCACGTCTTCACGATCCACCTGAAAGGCTACAGAGCATCCAAATGGATGCGTATATATCCCGAAAGGAAATTATGAAGGCAGAGTCGAGATTTTGGAACGAAGTGGTGGAAAGTTATGTGCGAGCTTTTCGCTGGAAAGAGTTCAAGCTGAGGAATGTTCTCGACATGAAAGCTGGGTTCGGAGGGTAATTCACATTATCTAAGGCCACTTTACCCGAATATGTTTTGTGATGCGGCAGTTTTGTATGATCCGTTTTCTCGACAATGTCAGGTTTGCAGCCGCTTTACTTGACCTCGGGCTTGACTCTTGGGTTCTGAACGTTGTTCCTGTGAGCGGTTTCAACACCTTACCTGTCATTTACGACCGTGGGCTTATCGGGGTTATGCACGACTGGTACGTACTACATAACTCTGAGTTTCCTTCCTTTTCTTCCAAAGATCACGTCTAAAGCCCCGAGCTTTTTTTTTTGCCTCTTAGGTGCGAGCCATTCGATACCTATCCTAGGACATATGACTTGTTGCACGCAGCATTTCTCTTCTCGGTCGAGAAGAAGAGGTAAAAAAGTTCTGATCTTTGAATCGTGAGAACGATTTGGATAGCATTTTCATTTTATATTTCTCGAGAAGAGGAGATAAAACGTAAAGCCCCTCAATTTCCTAATGAAAAAAGTACTGATCTTTGAATCCCGAGAACGATCTAGGTAACATTTTTCGTTTTACATTTCTCCTCCATGGGTTATGGAGCAGGTGTAACATAACGAGCATTATACTCGAGATGGATCGGATGCTCAGGCCCGGGGGACGGGTTTACATAAGGGATTCGCTCTCTCTGATGGATCAGCTACAGAAACTGGCAAAGGCTGTGGGCTGGACGCCGGTCATCCACGACACTGGCGAAGGTCCACACGCAAGCGTCAGAATTCTCATCTGCGAAAAACGAATGTGACGGATGGAGCCTCTTTCGAGAAAAAACGTCGTTCGTTGCGACATTTCGGATAACTGAGTCGCGAAGCGGCTGACCGGATCAGATCAGGTCCAGGGATGGTTTCAAGTACTGTTTGTTTTGTTGTTTGCTAGTAGTATTTTTACATTTGTATTCATAATTTCATAGTTTAAAGAAGTGTTTATACACTTTAGCCCTCGAAACAGCTGTTGTGTTTTATTATCTGTTTGTCATTATCCCTTCAAGGGAAATGCTTGTAAGGAATGGTAAACAATGGTCAATCATATTATGAGCGAAACGTCGTCGTTCCGCGTTGGTGTGTTTTTAACCGTTGGATTTCTGTTCCGGGATCCAACGGCAGATAATGCGTTTGATCATCCCACGTGATTATACGCGTGCGCACCACGCCCATTCTTTCGTCAGTGACTTACACGTGTCGGTTATAACTTCCCTGGTTACCGGGTTCTACCAGTATCAGATCCGGCCCAATATCCATATATGTATTTATACCGGTTACGGAAGGAAAAACTCGGAGCGAAAAATTTTAAAAACTGATTCAAAGATGAGGGGACCCCGGATTTGCAGAGCCGGAGCTGGTCGGAGACCTGAGGATTCGAAGAATTTGTTCTTCTTCTGATATTTCTATGGTTTTTCTGGTTCGTGGATTTGGGGATTCCGTTTTCTTTGTTCAGGAGGTACGCTTTTCCTATTGCTTTCTCCTTGTGTTTTGCCCCATCTTCGTTAGGATTTGGCTTTAGTTCCGTTCCGTTTGGTGGTATGTGGAGAACGCTCCATTTTAGTTCCGGAATCGTGATTTTTTTTTCTGTTTTTGATGAACTTGGGGAAATTTTGTGCTAGCTTAAGTAGATTGTTCTTAATTCAGTTTAGTTTCGCCATTGTTTTTTGGTTGATGGGGGATGAGATTCGGAAGGATGAGTTATCCCGTGTTTTCTGGTGCTTTCCTGGATAAGAGATTGATGGTATTTTTGAAAATTATGAGCAACAGATTCTTGAGTTTCTGCTATGGCTATATGAAGATTCGACTGACTTGTCTTTTTCTCGCTGAAGTACAATGGAACGGTGAAACCCTAATTCCGGAGTGTGAGAACAAGGTAGTAATTCTTCTCTGTGTACGTTTGAAGATGGCCATGAAGGAAGGCACACGCAATAGTGATGGTACAGAGAGTAATCAGCCTACTCATTTGGTGAAAAGTGAAGTGCAGAATACTTGTTGTATCAGCATTGGTGTTATGGGTGATTCTGCTCATGTAAGGTCCGGAAATAGTAAAGTGGTAGTGACATACAAGCGCAGGAAACATGGGATTTCGAGCACCAAGGGTAAATTTCCAGAAAATGGGAGAATTTCTGTGCAAGATGCTAGTCATTCACTAAGCCGGGTAACGTCATTGGCTTTTACTATGATATTGTTTTTATTTGAACTTATGGAATATATTGAAATATCAAAACTCTTTGATTTTACACGCTAAAGGTCTTACATTCTTTGTAAGGCTTGATTTTAGAACTTTCTGCTGTAGTACTGAACTGGAGCCACATAAGAAAATGCTTTTGCAAAGGAATATCTGTTCACATACCGATTAGAGATTTTGTTCAGTGGTATGCCAATATCGTCTGGCCTCAATTCAGTTCATGGTTGTTGAGGGACCAAGAGTAGTTTTCATTCATTTATCAGTTTCATGTGACTGTCTAAGGAATCTTTTTGTAATTCTTTGACAAGGCCACTAGACGTTTTGTAGATAGTCAAAGAGTCCATGACTTTTGATAGCTCAGAACTTGTTTATTCAAAAGTGAAAAGTGTTTATCACATATTAATGTCTGTATGGTGCACGGAGTTATCTCGTGTGTACGATTTGCAAATTAATCTTAGATTGTATATCTGTGTTCGAACTTTGTGGTGCTAAATATCATTTGCTTCTTTGAATTAATGTTTCCATTAGCTATCTTCTCTCAGGAATCCATGGCTTGTGACTTTGGTGGCCAAAGGTACCATTTAGAAGAAAGACCAATTCCTACAGGAGCTCATTTTACTGAAAAACTCCCGGAGGTTGTCAGTGCAAATAGACCCTCAAATGAATTGGTGTGTCCTACTGCAACTGTGCGCTGTCAACGTGTTCTTTCTGATGTTGCAGCTTCAGAGGAGTTTGCATCACTAAGTAAGTTGCTTACCAGAGATCTTCAAGGAATCAGGGTTGAAAGCCTTCTGTCCACGAGTTTGATAGCCAGCAGGATGAAAGAGGGATTTTATGAACATTCACCTATGCTTTTTTCAACCGATATTCAAGAGGTAACTAATAATCTATTCGTACATTTAAGTGGTTAACTATACTTGAAAAATGTTTTCTTTTTCTTCTCAGATCATAATATTTTCTGGTATTGTTGGTTGGAAAAAAAACAGACTCAACTCATTATACAACATGAGGAAATGGGGTTGCTTGCTTATGTGTTTGATTAAAATCAGACATAAAACTAAACCTAACTACTGGTTTCAGGTGTGGAAGAAATTGCAGTCTGTTGGAAATGAAATGTCTTCTCTTGCTAATAGGCTCTCAGAGGTTTCGAGGACCTCCTATACTGAACAGGTGAGAGAGTCAGGCCGTAGGGAATGCATGGATTAAGGTGTTATTTTGTTGCCCGATATGCATAAGTTTCGTTCTAACAAATGTTTTTAAAACAAATTCTGCACGTTTTGTAACAGTTCCATTCTAGGGCAACAGAGTCTTGTCGTAAAACACAGAACTTTGGAAGTGATGGGATCTTCGACATTTGCAAGCTATGTGGAGAAAAGGCAGTGGTGAAAGACTGTTTAGCATGTGATCATTGCGAAGATATGTACCATGTCTCGTGTGTGCAGCCTGCTGGAAAGGAGATACCGAAGAAGAGTTGGTATTGTCTAAACTGCACAACTAAAGGAATAGGATCACCTCATGAGAACTGTGTAGCATGTGAAAGGTTGAAAACTCAAAAGTTAAAGATGGACAAAGGCGGGATTGATATCAGTAATGAAGATTCAAATGAATTCAAAGAGAATTCAAGTGGTAGTGACATGGATGAATACCATGGGCTTCATCGTTCAGAAGGGAAAACGGATTCTGAAGTCTGCCGGATATGTGGAACCGAGGTGGAGAATGGTGGTAGGTTTGTCATGTGTGATCATCCCTACTGCCCATACAAATACTACCACATCAGGTGCCTAACATCGAGGCAGATAAAATTACATGGTTTCCGTTGGTATTGCCCATCTTGTTTATGCAGACATTGCCTTACCGACAGAGATGATGATGAGATTGTTCTGTGTGACGGATGTGACGATGCATATCACATCTATTGCATGAAACCTCCACTTACATCAGTTCCGAAAGGGAAGTGGTTCTGCACGGATTGTGAAGCGGCAGTACAGAAAGTTAGCAAAGTGAGGAAGGTGTTTGAAAAGATTGGTAATTTGCCGAAACAGAAAAACGGGGAAGCGGGGAGAAAAGCTGGGAATCTCGAGAGAAAACTGAGAGAGACGGGTAATAAAGAGTTGGATATAGGCGAAGGAGGAATGGACATGCTTCTTAACGCAGCTAACACTCTGAAAGACCGGGAACGAACCTCGAAAGATTGAGAAAATCTTCACTCTTTATAACCCTCTGGATTTATTCACAACACATCTTACACTCTTTACAACCTTTGGCTCGGTTTTGAAAGAAATGTTGATTTTTGCAAAACGTTTCAGGATATGGCAGGACTTCCATTGGAGAAAATTTGGCTAACTGAAAGGTAACGGTAACGGTAAACCGAAAACCGATTCTTCATGTTAAAACTGTAATTGTGATTTCTGTTCATTGTCTACTATGGTAGAAGGTTGCTCAGATTTTAGGGTATTATTAACAATCTGAAATTGATGCTTTGATTACAATAGCGAGGAAGAAGCAGCAAAAACATTTACTTCATTGGTTTTATCTGTGAGTTTGCCACTCTTTGTGGAACCTTTGCTATCGGATGTTTTTACATCCTTGTCGGTTCTCTGAAATTAGGTTTCACCAATCCGACCCGAGATTTGCCCCGAATCTGATCCGAAAATCCGAGCATCAATCATCTCTTAACAAGTTCAAATTCGGATAATGGTAAGATCTTACCGACTAGTCTGAGTATGTGAACAATTTTTGTTTCGTTTGCGGCAGCATACTCGGCGTTTATGGTAGGCAAAACACTGCCATTATCCGAATCCGATACAAAACGATTGATGACTTGAATTTTCCGATAAAATTCGGGACAAATCCCGGGTTGTACCGGACCCTTTGGTAATTTGGTGACAGATAATTTCGGACAAATTTGATAGACGAAGTGCCTATGATGTTACAGACGCATTAAGTGAAGAAGATGTCCGAAACTGCTGTCAGCTTATTTATTTCCATTACTATTTTGTTTTTCCAATGAAACTGTATGGCGTGACCGTACAACATTTACACAACTTACATATTTGATCATCGATTCGATACCAACCAGACAAAATTTACCAAAAATATTTTCATTCAATTCTATAATGACACATTAGCGCACACACATACATAAATGGTGGGAGTAGGATGCATTGAATTTTTGCTGTAAATTTTTAACTGCCCGTGAAGCATGAAATCCTATCATCCCCACTCTCTCCATCCATACGTCACTTTTGAATTTATTATTATTATTTTGACAATCAATGTTATGACACTTTTACTTGATATTTTTTGTTTGGGTAGAACTTTTTTTTGATAATTCAAAAGTTAGCCCGGTTTTTATCCGACTACATCCTTCATAAATCCATATGAATGGATCTCTTCAAGTGAGGATTCGAATTCGAGTGGGGAAGGAACTTTGCTCTTTTCCATCCAATCTTAGGTTTTTTTGTAGATTTTTTTTATAATTTAAAAATTCACCGTTTTTTTACTCTGACTACATATATTAAAAATCCATGTGAATGAGACTCCCCAAACGAAGACTCGAATTCGAGTTAGAAATGAGTTTTGCTCCCTTCTTTACCGGTTGAGTCAACCTTGGATTTTTTTCGTAGAATTTTTTGTCTAAAATATGTTCCAAACTTGAGTTGTAAATGTTATAGTCATTTTTATGGATAGTTATTGGAATTAAAACAGTCTCCTAGACAAACTATTGAATTTAAAATAATTTTAATGTGAAAAAGTATTTAGATGTGATGATATTTTTATTTACTCGTGTCACTTTCAAATATAATTATATTTAAATGTCAATATAATTAATATATTTTTATAATTATATTAAAATTAAAATTTATAGATTAATATTGATACTATATAAAATATTCGATTTTAAAGATTTTATAGTATTATTTTTTAGAATTTTCCATAAAAGCTGCCAACTTTAGGCAGTTATAGGGGTTGGTGGGCTCCAATTTATGTGCACACGCCTCCCATTTAATACATTAGACCTCAGATTTCAAAAACCTCTATTTTTGGTTAATATGTGCATCTAAACTTATCTCTTATTAAATTCCTCAATATTATTTTCTATGAAATATGAGATCGACGGTCCATAATATTGTTAGTCTTTTCCGATGAAATTAAATCTCTTAAAGAAAATATTTTTTTTTTGGGGGTGGGGGGTGGGGGGAAGCAAACCATTATCAAACTCGGTTTATTCAATTTGAATATAAACTTATGAAAGCCCTCCGTTCCATTATATTCATAAATCGCTGTGATGAACGCATACAATGTGAATATGGCAAAATTTCATATAAATAAAATCCATATTTTTAATATCATTTTTTTGTTAAATGTGGCAATCATTATATTAAGAATTCTAGAAGATCTTATTAGTACATTTCGAAACATTTAAATAATTTCAAAACAGTAAGAACATTTTATAAAATGCATGGAAATTTTATTGGATTGGTTACTTAATTTATATTTGTCTTTGTGACTTTCTGCACCGCTTGGCGGACACTTCATATCAAAATCGAAAGATATTTCGATCTCAGAATACGTTGATACCAAATTTAATATTAAAATGGAATAAAAATAAATTTTAAAATATAAAAAAATAACCCAAAATTCATTTAAAAATTAAATATATCTATGAATAAAAAATTGAATTTTAAAAATCAAATAAATGTAACTTTCTAACTTACAAACTCTATTGTTTCTAATTCAACCGTATACTTATCATTTAAAAATTTCACATATTAAAATCTTAAATACAAAACATTTGGATAAATTATGAAACAAATATAGAATTTGGAACATTTTTTTTTTCAGTTTTCCATTTCTTTTCCCGTTTGGTATATCGTCACCATTATTATATATAAGACCAAAGCCATGTTTCGACATTAAAAAAAAAGGGCATATTTTCATGCAAAAATGGAGCTCCTAATCCCACACCCATCAAACTCGTCACCTCTCACCGTCCTCGCCTTCCTCGACAGGGCCGCCGCCATCTACGGCGACTGCCCCTCCGTCGTCCAGACCAGCACCACCGTCCAGATGACGTGGGCCGAGACCCACCGCCGCTGCCTCCGAATAGCCTCCGCCACCGCATCCTCCGCCGGAATCCGAAGAGGCCAAGTCGTCTCCGTCGTCGGTCCCAACGTACCCTCCGTTTACGAGCTCCAGTTCGCCGTCCCAATGTCCGGCGCCGTCCTCAACAACATCAATCCCCGTCTCGACCCCCACTCTCTCTCCGTCCTCCTCCGCCACAGCGGATCCAAGCTCGTCTTCGTCGACCACCACTCTTCCTCTCTCGTCCTTGAAGCCTTATCGTTCTTGCCACGAGCCTCGCGGCCAGACCTCGTCCTCCTCCGAGACGAGGACGGGGACCGGTCCCTATCCTCGTGGTCCGGTGATTTCCTCGACACTTACGAGGGGTTCATGGAGAGAGGTGACCCAAAGTTCAAGTGGGTCCGACCCAGGAGCGAGTGGGACCCGATGGTGCTTAACTACACCTCCGGCACGACGTCGTCTCCCAAAGGTGTGGTGCTTAGCCATAGAGCGGCTTACATTCTCACGGTTAGTTCGTTGATCGACTGGTCCTTACCAAACCGGCCGGTTTATCTCTGGACCTTGCCCATGTTCCACGCCAATGGGTGGGGCTACACGTGGGGGACTGCAGCGGTCGGAGGGACGAATGTGTGCACGCGTAGGGTCGACGCGCCGACGATCTTCGAGTCGATCGAGAAACACGACGTGACTCACATGTGTGCTGCGCCTATGGTGCTCAACATGCTCACGAACTACCAGAATCGGAGTCCGGTCAAGAACCCGGTTCGGGTTATGACTGCGGGTTCTCCACCGCCTGCTGCAGTTATCTCCCGAGCCGAGTCGCTCGGTTTCGAGGTAAGTCACGGCTACGGTATGACGGAGACAGGAGGATTGGTCGTCTACTGCGGGTGGAAGCCTCAATGGAACCACCTAGACGAGAACGAGAGAGCTAGGTTGAAGTCGAGACAAGGAATCAAGTCGATCGGATTGGCTGAAGTCGATGTAATCGACCCAAAAACAGGGAAGACCGTGGAACATGACGGAGTTTCCATCGGGGAAGTCGTTTTCCGCGGTGCCTCCGTCATGCTCGGTTACTACAAGGACCCCGAAGGCACCGCAAAATGCATGAGGGATGATGGGTGGCTCTACACGGGTGACAACGGGGTGATACACCCTGACGGGTACCTCGAGGTCAAAGACCGATCAAAGGACGTGATCATTTGTGGCGGGGAGAACATCAGTAGCGCAGAGATCGAGTCGGTATTGTACACAAACCCTGCGGTGAAGGAAGCGGCCGTGGTGGCTAAACCGGATAAGATGTGGGGAGAGACGCCATGCGCTTTCGTGAGCTTGAAAAACGGCGAGGAAAAGGAGAGATCTCGGCCCGTGACCGAGAAAGAGATAAGGGAATACTGCAAGAAGAAGTTACCGAGGTATATGGTTCCGAGGAAAGTGGTTTTCCGGGAGGAACTTCCAAAGACTTCAACGGGTAAGATCCAGAAATTTCTCCTCCGAGAAATGGCGAAATCCCTACCATGACGTATGATCATTTGGATTCACCCGAAAACTCGAGAAAAATAAGATTTCCTTACCGTAATTCTAAGCTGGGCTTGTTCCGAATCTGTTTTTACACGCTTGACTTTTATACAAGATGTTACAAAGAGGGACCGAAATCTCTACCTCGTACCGTCTTCTATAGGAGCCAATGTTTCATGAGCTTTTGGTCTTGTCTCCGACGAGAAAACGCTTGCTGTTTGTACTCAGACCCGATGAATGAAGCTGCTCTCTTTTCTTTACAAGTTGTTTCGCGGTGTGTAGATCATCTTTGGCTTCTCGGGAATCCGGCTGAAGAACGAAAAACCAAAAACTGTAAGCTACAGCTATGAGCTTTGAAAATTACAAACATCGAGAATTTTTAGGAATTTCCTCGGGGTTTTGGAACTTTACCTTGAGGGCTAACGCTCTTTCGAAACTCTCGATAGCGCTATCTGGCTCACCAAAGTTCAGCTGTGCTCTACCGAGAGTAGTCCATGCCTACAATACCGAAGCATCGAGTCTTTGGAAACAAAATAACAAAATCCAACTCTTTGAAACAAGGCAGAGTCAAAAAATAACAATCTTCCTATGCAAAATCAAGAACTCGGACATAGTACCGAGAACCGAGACCCGCTTGAAAGACGGTTGATTAACACTAAAGGAATACTTCGACTTATGAAAGCGTATAATACAGGGTCGAGTACCTCGGCCCATGATGGATCTAGCTCGGTAGCTCCTGCGTAAGAACGCCGGCCAGAGCATTTGTCAGAGATCTCTTGCTTCGGATTTTCGGTAAACGAGGAACGAAACTATGGTCGCATAGAAATTTTAAATAGAAAAACAAAGGAAGAATCCGAGTATTACGAGTAGCGGATTTCACGGCTTTCCACGCATCGCCGAGCTCAAGCAATACTTGTGCCTTCTGTTCATGAAGGGCCGCGTTTTCGGGCATGAGATTGAGAGCTGTTTCCCACTTCCCCAGAGCCTCCCTGTATTTCCCTTCCTTCATAACCAAAAAGTCCACAAACCAAATCGATCAGACAGATCTGTTCACGTTATCTGCCATTGAAGAAAACGTTATTATGAGCTTGAAGAACTCCAAATAGTAACAGATGCTTCTTTTTTTTTTTCCATTTTCTTCTCCTACGTTTTTGCAACAGAGTACTAAAACTAAGCAAAAAACCAACGAACAAAGAGAAATCCCAATCTCTGCCATTGATAATGTTTCACAAATTCCATAGACTTCGAACAATTCTAATGTATAGAGCCTGAAAGCAACTGTTTCCAACACAGTGATTATAGCTTAACTCTGATCTTAATTTCAAGAAAGCCTCAAAATCAAGCAGAAACAAACATCAAAATATGTAGAATTGAATCATTTTCATGTGTTTCAGTAACAACTTCCTCCCCAGTAATCCCAAAAAGAAGCAAATTCTTGAAGACAAGTCCAGGATAATACATGGGTTTTATGCTGTCGGATACAAGACACTTACCTCGGCGAGCTTGTCTCCTTGGGATCTAAACGACTCAGCGAGTTTCATAGCTTCGAAATCGAATTGCCCATGATTCTCTGCTTGATATCCTCTGAGCTCCGACCGATCACCATCTCGTCCACGCTCAGAATCATCTTCACGACACTGACGCCGAGATTGAGATTCTGCCGTTTCCTGATCGAAAGGAAGATTAGGGTAATTCGAAACAGCTCCCAGAGATCGCTTTTTGGCCTTCTTGCTCCACGTTAGTTTCATCCTCTTCGTCGCAAATTTCGCCCCTTTCCTCTGTCTCTCTTCTTTCTGATACTGATTGTCCCGATGAACAGAATCTTTTACGAAACGGTGTCGTTTGTTTTTAACGGGCTGGGTTTTTTTGCTGGGCCTGAAAATTATAATACAGCCCAACGACGTCGTATCCATATTGACTATGCAGATCCACGGCAAAATAAAAAACAAAGGGCACGATTTTTTTATTCTTGGGTTCAATTTTATCGGTATAAAAGAAAAAAAAAAGAGGTAGGCGTGATTATATATCTTAATATTCATTAACCAATTATATATATATTCTTGGGTTCATTTTTATCACGTATTTGAATAGACTACTAGTATTATTTTCATGTGAAAAACCATTTTAAAAAATAAAAATGAATATTATTTAAAAACTTAAAATGAAAGAAAATAAGGATCTGTGGTCCCCACAGAATCTAACATCTATCCGCGAAAATCGAATCCATTTTCTTATGGTTAGTCCGTATGACTATGATTGCAGGCTAGTTTCACGTGACGAAAATTGTATAATTAAATTTAAATTGGATTCCATATCACAATCTTGACTGCCGAAAGGTACCGTTTAACACAGAGAATCCGATTACTTTCATTAGTATGATCATGAGAAGAATCAATCATTCGTAATTAATTAATTTGCTAAATAGGGATTTACAAAAGTAAATATCGTGTAGAGCATCCATTAAGTCCTTACTATATAAGCTTTTTCCAGCATGATTTAATTTATACATATATATATATATATAAAAACTAAAATGTTCAAAAGGAGTAGATCAAATTTTCCAATTATTTACAAGTACCATGCTACGTGTGGATAATCATTTGCTTTTAGCATTAATTAATTAGTTGATTATCCGACCACTACACATTTATTAGGATAATTAATATCGTAACTCACTAGCCAATAAATACTCGACGGATTCAAGAGCTTCGCTGTCTGCAACAAGACAACCAGAGAGTTCGGAGGCGGCGGCGACGAGTTCCGGCGGAGATAGGCGGAGGTTTATGGAGAAGCAGGGAAGTGTGTTCCCGAAGGAGAGGAAGCTCGTGAAGACGATGGTAATCGAGACTCTGTTTCGCCTCCGACTCCGAGCAGAAGACTGAGACGCCGGAAAATCTCCACGGCCGGCGCTTTGGAGTTTCTCGATGCTTCTACACTACCTGGCGATTTTTTTTCTTAAGACACGTGGCTAAAGTTCTTCATTTTTTCTTAAGACACGTGGATATGAGCTCTGACAACTCCGACATGATAGGCTGAAAGGGATTGTTAGTCTCTATGTATAAGAATTTTATTTTTCCAATGCTTTCCCACCTATTTTCAACTATTTATTTGACTTTTGTGATTTTAATAACCATTTTTTTCATTTTTCTAAAATTAATTAATGTGTATAGATATGATTTAAAAATGAAGGGTTATTTGATTTTATTTTCAAATCTTAAACAACAGTAAAAGCATCCGCTGATATCATACCGAACAAGTTCTTCAGAAGCCCAGATGAAACGTGACCAACATATATAAGCATGACGTGGAACACTATTTGTGTGAGATGCTTGCCTATCTTTATTTTATTTTATTTTATTTTATAATAATGTCCACATTTAATACTCCACAAAAAAACATATAGAATGATGTTCATTTTCAGAGACATAGTGTTTCAAAAAGTCAAGACACGAAAAAAATAAAAATAAAAAAAGACAGGTCATGGACCATGGCGGAAGTACTTGTAGAGAACAAGGCGATGCTATGAAACAGGAATATTATATCAATTCACATATCACCAACCGATTGTTATAATCTTGATCAGTGATTTTTATGATAAAATATGTTGTTACATGAATTAGAAGCGCCGGTTCATTGTTCTTTTATATCCGAAATTAAATAATAAAAAAAAAGAAATAATAAACAAAAGAGATGACTTTTTGATAAATAATAAAATAAAAAGCTTGGATTGCGAGATCTTTGGCGGGATCTGCCCACTTGCCTTGTACTGTCTGTAGACCAAACCTTAGTTCCCACGCTGGTGGCCTTTGACAACATCCGACACCACCTGCCAAGGAGGGAATATTCCTTTTTTTTTTTTTCAATTAAAAACATATAATAAACAATATCTATCTTGATCTTCGTTCAATGCTATTTTTGTTCTTACTCTAGGAAAATATTTTAAATTCTACCTGCCTATTACATACAAAAATAATGAGATGGAAATCCTCATATGTACTGCATTGATGACAAAAAAAGAAATGAATTTATGATTCAACATAATGATAAAGATTAATAAAATAATGTTTTGATATTCCAAAAGATGCTCTAAGAAGTTTTGAGTTTTATTTTAAACGTCCGAATAAAATATGTTTTTTCTAGATCTTGTTTCCCTTCCCATAACATGAAATGTTATTTTACCTGTGACAAATTCAACATTGTATGCGAATAATTTAAACAAAACCAACATCACTACTTAAATATTTGAACTTATTCTAAATTTTATCCCTGCTGCATTAATCCGAAATTGGTTCGCATGCATAGAAATAGAGCAGAAGGGTCGAAGAAATTTCATCGAAATTTTCTCAAATAAGCAAAACAAAATATGGTTTAAAACAATTAATAAATAAAGGGCTAATTAACGATTGCCAAGCGTGATGAAAGAACGAAAGCAATCAACGGTTACTAAGCTGACACGTCGATATTTTGTCACCTTAAATCACAAGTTTCAATTCTTCGCGTGATAACCTTGTTCTCTTGAAAATCAAAAAAAAAAAACCTTGTTCTATTTTTTTTTTGTTTATAAATATACGACCCTCAAACTCAAAGCCCACACACATGATCTCATAGTTATAGGCTTTCATAGCTCTCTAATACACACGTCTATACATACATACATACACATTCAACACACATACACATATATAGAGGCTGAAGATGAGCTCCATGGAAGAGATTCCGGCGGCGGCGGCTGAGGAGCAGAGGTTGAAGCCGTTTGAGAAGAAACACGGGAGTGTGATACCAAAGGAGAGGAAGCTCGTGAAGACGATGGTGTTCGAAGCTATCTTTTCCTGCGGCGGATCCTCCGCCAAAATCAATAAGACGGAGATCAGTTCCGACGGCGAGAAGGGGCGGCGCGTGTATCCCACCGCTCCCTGATCTTCCGACACCTGTCGTCATGCATGTCTCTGTTCTCCGTCTGTCTTCCCAAGAATCCCCTGTTTTTGTTGTTGTCTATGTTCTTCCGGTCATCTATCCTCGTGTAGTGTAAGAGATTAATTACAGAGAATTTATTTTCTTTCTTTTTTTTTTCTGGTTTAATCCACAGTGTAAAACATTTGCTTGCTGAATATTTCTGGTTTCTCACCAGAAACTCTGCAGTTTTTTTTTTTTTGCGTTCGAGTCGATGACTATGGTTGAAAATGGTAACATTCGATTATACTCTATAAGATTCTTGGATGATTCGTAATTTCGTTTTTTTCTTCTTTTGTGAAATTCGTAATTATTCTATTTTCGTAATTCTTGGTAAAATAAAAAATAAATAGATAAAAAGGGGGGGGGGGCTCTGACTTGTGTTTTTCCACGAGGTGAGAACGACGCCATATGTGGTAGTCAATCACGTGCATGTAATCCCCAGGTTTGCTCTTTGTACGCACGCACGTAGCAATATCATAAAAGTAATAATTGTAGGGTTTAAATTAGGTTATTATATTATTTATGAATTTCTGATACGACTTACGAGGGTACGTAATCTATGATGAAAATGTCAAATGTCCATGTAACGACAACGATATAATATTAAGTAGTGCTATATAGTATCTTGATTTCTTGTTGGAATACAGCTGTGTTAATGCAAGAAATTTGATTTAGAGGATGAATCTTCCCAATTTTTCTCACAGGCCTTATCGTAAAAGCGTCACATCAGTTTCTTGGATTCTATTACAAGGACTCTAGATAGCAATTCCGGAAATTAAAATAAAAATTCTTTTTTTTTTTTTTGTGGTTGATATTCTATTCTATTTTATTTTTTATTTTATTTTTTTCATAACCCTTTCACACGCGTCTTTATTTTTCAAAGTCCACGCACGTCAAGACGATTGACCTTTTTTTTAGTTATCGTAATCTTGAAAACTTAATTCCTCGGCCACCATTATTCGACGGCCATTGCCATACAACCGATAATTAATTTAATTTTTTTTTTGTATTGTTCGATGAACCGTTTTGAATTGTATATAATTCGCATGTTCATTTGAATATTTTAGTTTCTTGTTGTAATGTTGTTAATTTGGATCCTATATATCTTAATAATTTGGAATCCTCAGTTCAATTATACATACATCTTATCTAAAAAAAATTAATCGTATTAAAACAAATGTAAAATAACAAGAAAATCATATCTAAATCAAAATAAGAAAAAAAAATAAGCTCATTAAAATATTTTCTTAAATTCCAACCAAAATAAAATAAAAATTATAATAGAAAAAGCTGAATCAACACAACTTTTAAAAATATGAATACAAAAAATAATCCAATATAATGCCCATTAATAAACAGTTGATTTAAAGTATGTTTGATTATTAGTCATCGTATCATACGATTGTTTAATGATATTTTGTCTCGTTGGTATGGTTTTCCGCCATTGTCCCCCTTTTGTGTTGTCAGACTGTTCGTGACATGTCTCACCGATAGAGGCAATAAACGAAGAATTCCGAAACACGAATTATTAGAAAAACAAAAATAATTATTTTTAAATTATCAACAAATTAACAACTCTATTAGATTGCGAATCTTGTAAAATATAGAAAAGACAAGGAAAATAGACCAAGTTGACTGAAAATATGTTCAACAATAAAAAAAATATATATATATATATATATATATATATATATGGTAAACAGGCACCACAAAGCGTGATTGTTTCCCT